TCTCGTGCTGAAGACGGTAGTAGCCAGCTTCTTGTTTTTGCTCCTCTGACATTTCTGTAGTAAAGAGCTCTGCCTCGTCTCGAAGAATATCGAGCTCTAGAGTCTGCTCTTCTAGTCTCTTGCGCAGAGACTCGATTTCCGCCTCCGCCTGGTCCGCCCTCTCCTCCGCCATTTCTTTGTCGACTAGAGCATCCTCTAAGTCGACCTCATGGTCCTGTAGTGACTTGTTGAGGGCTTCTAGTTCCGATTGTAAGGTCTTGAGCTTCTCCTTGTGTTCTTGAATCTCAGTATATTGTGACTGGCATTTGGTCTGCAGGCGCTGTATTAGGCCGCTGAACCTGTCCTTCTCGTCGCGAACTTGCGCGAATTCTCTCAGCCGTTCTTGGTCTTCCGCATGCTGCTTCTCCATATGTCTGATCGTTGTTTGTAAGCTCTCGACATGGCCATCCCGAGGTGCTTTCCCAGCGTTACTAGTGACTGAGGATCCCAGACTCGGTCTGGATGTTGAAGGTGCAGGGCGAGATGATTCAGGACGAGATGATTCGGGGCGAGTGGGTTCTGCGCGGGAAGACTCGGGTCTGGAGAATTGTGCGCGGGAGGATTCAGCGGCTGAATTGCTAGATGTGCTGGCAACGCTGGCTTTTCGAACAGGTCCACGCGAAGGTGGCTGTGATGCTGAGGGAGCTGCGACTGACTGTCGCTTGCTCAGTGTGGTTGTTCTTGCAGTAGTGGGCTTTGGAGCAACCACACTGGAAGGCCGAGCCCTGGGAGTGGTGGTTGGGGCTCTTGCTCTTGAAACTGCTCGTGGTGTGGGTGTAGGTGGGGTTGGTGTTGCCTCGGAAATTATAGTGGCTATGCTGGTGTCGCGAATGAAGAGACCGTGGCCAGGAGCGCACGTAAAGTACCGCTCTCCGCGAACTGAGCCATCGTTTTTGCCGTCAGGCGTAGGAAGCTCGATTCCGATAAAAGTGCCTTCGGACACGTGAATAGCCCCTACGTATCTGACGACGCCCTCCTGATGACCCGTAGTCTTGACCGTCTGGCCGACCTTGATATTCAAGGCAGACATGCCTCCTGAGTGCTAGCCAGGAGCGATGCTGAGAGAGCCGGGTGGAGAAGGTGAGAACTGCGTGGTGGTATGGAGCAGTCTCGACGCGTCGAGAAGCAGCTGGGAGTGGGGAGTGCAGTCGCGGACAACTGACTCAGAAAAAGTTTGGAGAGTGCTAAGCAGAAGAAACAGATACACGACAATGCAGAAGTAACGGCTCAAAAGTGGTGCTGTTGTGGAAAGTGGCATTGAGCAGTTGCAGAAAGTGTGGTGTAGAGGAGAGGAGAGGAGGAGCGATGTGGCAGTATTTAGCTGAGCTCTGGGTGATTGCCAAGAGGGACGGTGATGGCTCGCGCTATTGGTGGCGATGGCTCGGACGAACGCCAGTTCGTGGATGCGGCGGACACACCCGGCGCTAGCGCGTTGTAGCGCGCTTCCCACCCAAAATCTACGCGTTTTCTGACGTACAATCAGCCCACTCTACAACTGCCAGTTCCAATGCACTCTGGGTGACATCTGTCTGCAATGTGTCCTCGTCTTAGTGCAGGCGATAGTCGTCATGCATTCCGCCACTTGCCACATATGCCGCTCGCCCCATTTCAGAGCTTGAGCTGCTCTTCGCATAACTGCAGGAGATATCATACGGACTGTAGGGGCGATAACACCAATAGCCAGATGCAGTTATTAGTTCTCAGTGCGCGTTTGTAGGTTCTCTGTAGGAGATTTTTTTTGGGGCTCAGTGTACCCTTACATAGACATCACACTCCCTGTTTACTTGTCCGAACCTACCGTTGTCTCGTCGGAAACAGGATCCTCTCGACTGCGTATGTCGTTACAACGACAAACTGGATACTAGTAAAATCATAGGCTCTTGGCTTTACTCAAATGATTATATTCTTGTGTTGCTGCAGATCGCGCGATCCAAATAAAAAGCGATGGCATCTCGTTGTGGTTCTCTATTCCATGCACGTTCGTTCAATGCATGGTACACATACACACAACGCCCTTCAGATTCGACACAGCCGCACTTAGGAGATTTGCTCCATCACGCTTCCACTATCACTCATCGCGAAGCTTCCAATTCCTTGATCCTTTGCTCGATGTCAGGAACAGCTCTGAGCTGCAGGTCGATATCTTCTTTCTCACTGCCAGTATGTTAGCACAAGTTTTCGCCTCAGACGTAGTACTACTACTGGACTAAGGTAGAATGCACTTACTCTTCGAGTATTGCCCTCCTCTCCGCGTCGAGCCCTCCAAAATAGAAGCCGCCTTGACCATCAAACTGCAGTATCCTGGTGTGATACTTCCAGAGACTTCTACGGTGGCTGACTGTCATAAGGGTTATACCCAATCTCTTCGCTTCTTCGTACATGACTCTTTCTACTTCCAGGGTGACGGAGCTTGTGCATTCGTCCAAAATTGCGTACCGAGGCTTGTGGTAAAAGAGTCGCGCCATAGCGACGCGTTGTTGAAGACCGCCAGAAAGCACGTCTTCCCATTGCGCCTCTGCATCAAAGCCACCGGGGCGGTCGATAAGGGATTCGAGGTTCAAGGTCTCGAGTATGGAAAGAATGTCGTTGTCGGTAATGGATTTGGAGTGCATGTCATGTAGCGAGTCTGGATATATGATCTGTTGACGTAGCGTACCACGCGAGAGGTATGGTCGTTGTGGGATATAGAAGATGTCTTCGAATGGTGGCTTCCGTACCTTACCACCATATACAGGCCATAGACCTCCAAGGATTCGAAACAGACTACTCTTTCCACATCCGTTTGGTCCTACGATCAGTAGGTGATCGCCGGGTTTTACACTGAAGGAAAGTGCCCGAACGAGCACATCACCATTCGGAGATACTATAGGTACATCGATGAACTCGATATCGGCGCCTTCAGTTACGATACCACGACCGCGCAAAACGGATGCGTTTTCTTCGATGTCAGCTGAAGAAACAAGCTTCTTCTCGAAATGGCCGGCTTGGATATCATCGATTACATCGAGGAGGGTTGATACGCGTGAGGTATAACCAGCGAGTTCGGTGATTTCCTTGTACGAGAACATGACGCGACCAAAGGCGTCACTAGACATGAGGAGCATTCGGCGATTGGTTACGAAGCCTTTGGGAGTCACAATTGTCAGTAGGAATATCTCGCAACCTGGACAAGGGGCGGTATGGTTTGAGGGTACTCACTCTCCGTCCGATCCCCCATAGTCATGCCGCCTGTGCCTGGCACTTTGAAGAACACTGGCACACTGCAAAGCAACAGACCCAGAGCGCCCCAGAAGTATTTGATCACAAAGTCTTCCATGACTCCGTGATAGAATCTCCTCCTCAGTATCCGGTTGACATGCTTGATTAGCGTAAAGTATCCCTTATCCAAAGTATCCTTCTCCGCCTCATGCCCCGCATACAGCGCCACCTCCTCGCTCCAGTCGATTAGCCTGGAATGCTGAAACCTGAATTCGCCTTCCAATCTCGCTTCGTCTGCTACGTATTTGCCGAACGGTGGGGTAAGCGCCCTCATTACGTTGGCCGAGATCTGAACTAGCAAGCTCATGAAGAACAGTCCTTCGCCACCGACGCTCCGCGATAACGAGTAGTTGTAGATTATGATGTCTAGAACGGGTTTGGCGAGATTGGAATAGAGTTCCGCAAGCGAATTGGAGAACTTGGAGACGTCAACAGTGATGAGTTGGTCGGCGTTTGCGATGCGGTCGTCGAGGGCAGAAAGCGTGTAGAAGGTCATCTGAGAGAGGTATTTGGAATGAATGTAATTCGTCAGGCGCGTTCGGTATTGGAGGGAGAGTTTGCACTGGTGGTAGGAGAGCTAGGCTTGTTATTATGTCTTCGGCTCCCGTTGCATGTTGTGCTTTGGCTGCAAGGTGAGAAGGTTGACATACCATACTGTTCGTAAACGTCGCTGGGACAGCCACAGCCATCCACCATACCAAACCTAGGAGAAACTCTCTTCCCTTGCCCCTCACGAGCGCACTAACCAATCTTCCATCCAACTCCGCGACGTACAGACTGATCATCGTCCTAAGCACCAAGAAGACGCTATGCCCGATCAAGAGTCTAAACTCCTTGCTCTTCCAACCAGGTATGCATATCTTCAGTAGTCTGAGCAGGTTCTTGAAGAACTCCCTGTTCAGCTCTACCTTCTTCCTGCCTGTTGCTTCGCCCTCGCCTGCTGTTGTCTTGTCCGCTGATTTGGAAGCACGCCGTAAAGAAGCGGCTTTCTGTTCGGCGATGGCATTTCGTATACGATTTATGAGGGCGACGAAGAGGGTAAGGTACACGGCGCGCGATATGCGTGTTCGGTGTTGGAGATACAGACGTGTAAGGTCGTTGACAATGGCTTTGGCAGACGCGCTGGTCAGGCGATGGGAAGAGAGAGGTTTTGAAAAGACAGCCATGGCTACCGTAGACGAGGCATTGGTGTTGTGCAAGAGGTTGACGCCGTGCGCAAAGCGTCGTGGCGTGGTCGTTCTTGACGGAAGATCTCAGTAGGTAGTGCTGCGAAACTTTGTACTACGATAATCTGACGGATGGTCTCCCCGGTTGCGCAACAAACCAGTAGGGTGCAGAAAGCCGCGCGCGTCCGGTTGTAAGGTTTGGTGAGATCAGTGTATCGCGGAAGGTAACGCTGTACAAGCGTCACCTGCGACATGTGAACGAATGCCTCGGCTTCCCCACAAATCGCCTAACCGTATCGAGACATAACCTGGGGAAAGCTTTCACATGAACGAAAGGAGCGTACATTGGTTTCATACGCTGGGTTAAAGTTGCACCTGATCACATGTGTTCAAGTGTTCATTTGATGTTCTTGCAACGCCTATCATTGTTGTAGAATCGTTACAAGAGCGGATTGTACCAATCGTCTCTGCTGTCCCCCATAGCTGATGTATAGAGTCATGACCCGCAACCATTCCCAGAACCACATTAGCCCCAGATCACGACTGGGTATCCTTGAAATCTCCAGTATGTGTCTTCGCTGCCTTTTCTGCTCCATATCCTGGCGCCACCTTGCCCGGTAGACCCTTAACAAACCCACCAATATCTAAGCCCTGCATCTTTTGCTGCGTAACCTGCATCCAACTCTGTTCTTGCTTCTTCTGCACAGCCTGCTCCATCTCCTCTTTTTCCTTCTCTTCATCGCCTTCTCCCTTGCTCCCTTCGTTCTTCTTCCTCTCTTCCTCTTCCTGCTTCTTCTCCTTCGCTAAATCAGCTTCGGCACGCTCTACTTCCTCGATGTCGACGTCTTCGAACCCGATCTTCCGAAGGATAGACCCGGTGATGAAGCGGTATTGGAGATGACCGTCCACGAGGTCGCTGACATCAACATTTTGGATTCCGTGTACGCCAACGACGGGCTGCAGACCTGCGACACCAAGCTGCATGGATGAGGTGCGATAGAGGAAGCCGAGGATGTAGTCTGATTTGGAGAAAACATTGACACAGCGACCACTTACTACAGAGCGGATGCGCCGCCAGTCGGCAACGTCAGATGGGCAGGGGGCGCCGACAAGAACCACGTTCTCGATGAGACCAAAAGCTTTCCGCTCTGCCAGTTTCTGGAGGCAGGAATAGATGACGCGTGCACCGAGAGAATAACCCACAAGGGTGACCGGCCGTTCGCCTTGTACCTTGTTGATTAGTGCTTCAGCAAGAACTTCGCCAGCCTTCTCAGAACGGTATTTCGCTACTGAGAAAGGATTGTCGAGCATAGTGGCAATCTTGAGCAGGCCTAGTGGCCACAATGCAGCCGTCATCGCAGCGAAAACAGTCTGCTCAATAATCTTCTTCTTCGCGTAGCCCCAAGCAGCACTGGTCACGAATGTTTCGAGGCTATGTCCAAGCTTGAGAAGCGCCTCAAGCTCCCAGCGAAGTGCGAAGCCTTCTGTTCCCTTGCTGATGTATCTCCATGGCTTTGATACTTCCTCGGGGGCGCGCAACCAACCAGAGACTGCAATTGCGACGCGCAGGCGGCGAGATTCATTGTCTTGATGCCTCGGGTCTTGGGTGCGGTGAATAGGTATGAAGGCAAAATCTTCCACTTGTCGGGCGTAGTCGTCCATGGCGCGCCCCGTCATTTTCGCACCGTAAGCGCCAAACAGCCCTCCTACGAGGACAGAAGAACCCGCCAGAGTACCTAGATACCCTGCGGCTGCTGTAGCACCCAGACCAATGCCTCCCATCACACTTCCAACACCTGCCGCAAGAAGTGGTGCAGCCAGCCCGCCAGTTACACCGATCAAGGCAGCACCAGCAACACCGGCGAGGCCGACTTTCCATTTTCGAGCGGCTTGTGATTTTTCAGCAGCTTGCTTGGTTTCTTCGTCAGCATTTAGTTGTTGAGATGCCGCTTCTAGAAGACCTTGGGCGACCGTCTCCTCATCTTTCTTCAGAACGGCTCTACTCAACCCGAGAGAACTGGTAAGGTAGAGAATCAGGACACGAGAATGTGCTGAGTAGTGCTCCAAACTTAGGAGTATGAGTACTAGCGAATGCAATATAAGGGCGCGTTTGCTCTCCTCCAAGTGAGTGAGGGCGTTGGATACAGGGGGGTAGAGATCCTTGAACATCTTGTCTTCGTCCTCGTCCTTCTCGTCAAGCTTCTTGATGCTCTTGAGACCAGTTTCCGATTTCTTTGCGATTTGCTCTGCCTCCTTGCCTTCGACCTGACGTGTCTGTTCTTTGGCTTTTTCTTTCGAATTGACTACTTCGCCGATTCTGCTGATGACGTTGCCTCGCCACCCATCGAAGTACTTGAGCATTTCCTTTTTCAGTTCTTGCACTTCAGGTTGCGCGAGCTCTTTTCTTGCATCTTCTTCGCGTGCTTCCCTCTCTTTCTTGATCTTGTCTTCTTTGGCAACATCGACATCGTCGAGATTGGAGGGTGCGTCTAGCAATACCTCTTCCTCTGATCTGGCAGTGTTTGGATCGATTGCGAATTCTTCAGCGGTGAAGGTGTCGACCAAGGACTGCCGCATCGATGCCGTGATGGTGGCTATCAAGAACGTCAAATCCGCGCATTGGTCTGCATCGAGGAGTGTAGTGAGCGACGTCTCATCCTTGTCCTCCGACTTGGAATGGCCCAAGGAAGTCAACTTGGAGGCCCAACCCGACATGATGGTTGACAGTTGGCTGAAGAAGGGTTCGAGGTTTGTGTAGTGATTGCGCAGCGGAGATCTGCATAACAGGGTGAGATGTTGCTGCTTGGATATGACGTATAGTGGGGCAGGGGCTACGAATAGTCCAATGTCATCCAAATGTCGAAGATCACCCGCACTTCCGAGGAGTAGTGTGAACGTGGGTCCCTAGGTATTTAGACTATTCAACATATTGTCAAGTATCTTTTTAGGACGCCACAGGCTTCATCTTATGGAAAAGGTCCCGGCATCTGTGCGCAGCAATGTTTTGATCTTAGTACATACTCGCGCAAAGCTCGACCGATTTTATTTCTTTAACCAGACTATCACTTCACGAACCTACTCTACTGGTAGGTATTGGCGGTGCACCCCTTCCCCCCACTGGAAAATTCCTGGCGCTCAGAAAGACACCCTTGACAGCCCTAATGTCGTTCTTTAGCACCTCCATTTGATCGTTGTGTCCACTACCGCCTTGACCAGACCAAGTGAAGGTAGATCCATAGCGGCCCATGCTGGGATAGTATTGGTTCTGGTAGTCCATTTCAGTCAGATATGTGGTCAAATCTGACACCTTTGTCCTCAGCGCATCTCGCGATTTGCCGTCATTGGTGCGGTTCGTTTCCAGCTCTTGCAGATGTGATTTTATAATCTTGAGGCGATTCTCTTGCGCTGTCACGGTAGGGTGGGGATCTGCAGCGGAAGTAGAGGGTCGACGGGAGAGGTTGGGTGTGGTTTGGGTGCCATAGTCGCGATGGTAAAGCTCAGTAGGATCGGAGTCGGCTTCTGAGACATCGTCTGCAGCGTCTGCGATTGCCTTGACTTTGCTAGCAGGATCAACAGACACTGCCTTGGCTAGTCTCGAGTTCAACTCCTTCAGCTGTTCTTGAGTGTGTGATGCAAAATCTTGTCTTGATTCAGCAAGGTTGTGTGTCATGGGCGCTATGATGTACTTGGACAGTCCATATATGCTTGCCATGATGCCTCCTGTGACGTATGCGGTTGTCGCAAGGCGCTGGGTGGTGATGAGAGGCGGTGGCTTTTCGGTATTCGCGAGGAATTCTGGGTAGGTAACGATCGGGGGTATCTCGCGTGGTGGAGGCGGCGGCGGCGAAAGATCGAGTGGCTGGGATGTCACTTCTGATACCTCTGCGGGCTTTGATGGCGTCTACGAATGTCAATATCGTTGCTCTGTGGCCAGAGGGGTTGTGTACTCACTGCTGACCACGCCCGCTGCCCGACTTCCTCGAGATCTGTGTGAGTGTCCTCCTGTGGCTCTGTGCCTAGCAAAGTCTCAATGTCCTCTGTGCTCACACCCTTCGACTGCAAGAATGCGACCTTCCTCTCTCGCGGCGCATCGCGGATCGTGGCATCTTCAAGGAAGCGCGATGCTTGCTCTAACAACTCTGAGCTTTGAGACGGCTGCTCTCCCCCATCTTCTCCTTCAACGTCGTCTTCGGTCGGTGTTGGCGCTTCGACGGCGTCTTGTGCGCGTGCTTCTTCGGGCTCTGGGGACGCTGCGGCGTTATCGGCAGATGCGCGTTGCCAGTCGGGGATTGCCGGCTTATTGGACATTATGCGTGGAATCAACAGTCGTTTTCGAGGTGAAGTCGAGTAGACAGCGGATGCAAATGACGCGAAATGGACGTAGGCGCGCTTCCGACCGTGGTGATGGATTGCTCGGTCGGGAAACAATGGCTGGACCGAGGCAAGAGCCCCAGATCCGGCCTTTCCTCTTTAGTCAAGCATTCGAGCATCAATCAGCCGTGACAAGCCTCATCGCTGTGAACTGGTTCGATTCTTTTGAACGCCCTGGTTGTCTCTTAAGATGCTACTTTACATTCTGAGTTTAAAATTGTGTCTCAGTGCTTCCCTCGCCCATGCTCTTGCTGCCTGAGCTGCCACTCTGTATCGCCCCCAAGATGCCATCAATGTAGCCTGCGCCGGACCACTTCTGGTGCGTGAGCACATCACAACCCAACTCCTTCTCTCTCGCTTGCACCAACTTGACATAAGCAAGCATGCCCTCGTCCTTGAACGCCCGACTTAGCTCGCATGTAATTGTAGCCGTAGAGTGTAGACCAGCAAGCGAAATGAGCTGGAATACGAATCCATGTTTCGCCAGATCCCAGACAAAAGACTTGAGCGCTTCTTCGGAGAAACCTTGGCCCATCCAGTTGAAGCTGGGAGATAGATTGTACACAAATTTCTTTCCCGGGTGAACAGCGCGGATTTCACCTGCGAACCTTGCTGCTTCCTTGACATTCGGATCACCCGTTTCGACCCAGAGGAGATCAGCGTATGGAGCGTATTCCTTGCCGCGTTTTGTTGCTGCAGCTACGCCAGCTTTGTAGTGGTAGAAACCTTCCCGTGTACGGGGGATGTCCCAATCGAAGTAGACGGGTGTTTTGGTGTACTTCTCCGCAACGTTTCGGCGCTTTAGAAGAGAGTAGTTGGGATTCTGCTTGACCTCATCGAGGTATGAGTCGATGGTTGATTGAGGTGCACTCTCTTTCTCAAGGTGCTGGACCACGGCCTCGTCAAAGGTTACGAGCTTGTGCTTCTTGACCCACGCCGCTTCGTATTGGTCGATCTCCTTGCCGGGTGCGCCAGCTGCTTCCATATTCTGCAGCGTCTCGGCCAGCGGTTCACCATCTTCTGTGACACCCTTGATGAACTCATGATCCCGCACATCGACAGCGCTGGAGATGAGCTTGCCGCTCTCTGAATCAGTGCGCGCAATAACAAGGTTCTCGCAGCCCATCATATCCCACTGGAACCGTGCGGCTACCAGGCGGTTGATGTGGTCACCAACTGGCACGAGGACTTTACCTGCAAGATGTCCGCACTTCTTGCCGCCGTGAAGTTGATCTTCAAAGTGAACACCTGCGGCTCCATTCTCGGCGAAGAGCTTTGCTAACTTGATGACGGCAGAAAGGCCCCCGTGGCTACGACAAGTCAGTTCTCTAGCCAGACATCAAGAGTAATCTTTACGTACCCAGTATCGCCATCAGCAATGATTGGCCGCATGTAGTCTAGGTAAGGCGTCTTTGCTCGTTCTTCTGCACTCATCTTCCTCCTAGCATCCCAGTTCTTGCGGTCGTGTAGCTGCTGAGCCTTGAACAGGCGCTGCACTTGGTTTGGTACGGTGTTGTAAGGGTAGTCGCCAAAGTCGGCCGAGACTTCATTCGTCGTGGTCAGGACTGAAGAGCAAGCCCATCCAGAGACATAGAGGACTTCTTGGTTGGCAGCTTGTTGGGACATTTGGATGGGGTCAATTGCGCCCACTGGGTATTGAAAACATGTGATCAGCCATTATACTATCTATACAGACTAGGATAAACGCACTGGTGTGTACTGGCTCGCCCTTGGCCGCCCTCTCCTCCAGAAGGTTGAACAGTTTCCGCGCCATCAGTGAACTGGGATATGACTGTTGAAGCGCCCCCCGCTTGCTCACAACATCTTCGGCAGAGTATGGGCGCTTGATACCTTTGTACCGTGGTGACGCCCACCAGTCCTTTACGGCTTGTACCTGTTCCTCGAAGAGCGCATCTTCTGCCTGACCCGCTTTCGAAGCTTCAGGCAGCAGCTGGAAGGAATCGCCAGGGAGTGCTGTCGATACTGGAGGGTCAACACTCTTGAGTGTCGAGTTTGACATGCGATATGCGGTGGTAGAGAGGGGGCGTAGGAGTTGCGGTGTTCGGCTCGTGACTCTGGACGATCGGCTCTGGCGCGCGACTGAGCGCGATACTGTTCGGAACATTGTAGGCGTATGTGAATTGGAGAGACTGCGGTCAGCAGAGGCTCGCTCTGTATCTTAGTAGGATGGCGGCAAGAGTTAGTCAACAGTTGTTTACGGAAAAATATCCGCAAGTCGGAGAGAACTCGGAGATGATGTTTGCCACAGGCGCCTTTCTGTGTCTACGTCCAATTGTCTCTTTTGCATGCAATTAGCAAAGTCCGTGGCCGTGTTGCGTGAAAAAGTGAGTTCCGCGTCATGTTTGCGGCAACGCTTCTCCAGGGTTCCCCATCACCGACGTCACTACCGAGGTATGTAGCCCTTGTCTAGCCGCGTCCAACTGCCCCTCGGTCCTCGTTCAATGTTGTACTCGCATTAACGGACCATGCGTGCCTGGTGGACTGAGGTGCATTGCCGAAAGTTGCCGTCAACATTTCTTTGCTTGTTACTCGCGAAGTTTGCAACGCCATTGTCTTGAACTACTTGTTGTGTTCTACGTCCTATGTGTTGACGAGTGCAACTACTATCCCCGCATCTACCCCACGTAAACCGAGCTATGGCATTGAGCGCACGATCAGCTTCCAGAGCTCTACGGGCTGCCAAGGTAAGCTCAGAAAACAATGTGTGGTTGTGTATAATACACAAACAACTAACAATTGCTTAACAGGGGCGTCCTTTTGCCTCCGGTATGCAATCAAATCACCCAGTCCAAACGTCATGTTCCTAACGCGTGGTTCGTTACAGTACAAGCCTGTAGCTACTCTTCCTCCTCGGAGCCGGATCTCAAGGAGACGTTCAAGAAGGTTCTGCCTGCAAAGCGCGAACTTCTGAAGAAGGTCAAGGCGCATGCCGACAAGAAGCTTGGAGATGTCAAGGTCGAGAATGCCCTGGGTGGCATGAGGTATGATATTCAAACAATCACGCAAGCATGCTCTGACGAGATTGAAGAGGTCTCAAGGCCATGGTCTGGGAAGGATCAGTGCTCGATGCGAACGAGGGCATCCGATTCCACGGCAAAACCATCAAGGACTGTCAAAAGGTGCTACCCAAGGGCACTTCCGGCACTGAGATGCTTCCCGAGGCAATGTTCTGGCTATTACTCACAGGCGAAGTACCCTCGGTCTCGCAAACTCGCGCGTTGTCCCGAGAGCTCGCTGAGAAGGGTAGCATTCCCAAGTTCGTTGAAAAGATGCTCGACGACTTCCCCAAAGATCTCCACCCGATGACACAGTTCGCCTGCGCCGTATCCGCACTCAACTACGAGTCCAAGTTCGCAAAAGCCTACGAGAAGGGTATTAACAAGGCCGACTACTGGGAGCCTACCTTCGATGACTGCATCAGCCTCCTCGCGAAACTGCCTACCATTGCTGCAAAGATCTACCAAAACGCATACCGTGGTGGAGGCGCCCTCCCGAACGAGATCGATCTGAACCAAGATTGGTCATACAACTTTGCTGCCATGCTTGGCAAGCCAGGCAAGGAGAACGAGGGTTTCCAAGACCTTCTCAGGTTGTACCTTGCTCTGCACGGTGACCACGAGGGTGGTAATGTCTCCGCGCACACAACACACTTGGTCGGGTCTGCGCTCAGTGATCCTTTCTTGAGCTACAGTGCTGGTCTCCAGGGTCTTGCAGGACCTTTGCATGGCCTGGCTGCGCAAGAGGTGTTGCGATTTATCCTCGACATGCAAAAGGTCGTCGGCGAGAAGTTCACCGAGAAGGACGTCAATGAATACCTCTGGAGCGTACTCAAGTCTGGACGTGTTATTCCTGGTTACGGCCACGCTGTGCTTAGGAAGCCTGACCCGCGATTCGAAGCTCTCATGGACTTTGCAAATGCCCGACCCGAGATTGCAGCAAACCCTGTATACCAGCTGGTCAAGAAGAACTCTGAGGTTGCACCGGATGTACTCAAGGAGCACGGAAAGGTAAGATATGGCATGCCCAGCATCCCGAGCCACTGCTGACACACTGTAGACCAAGAACCCCTTCCCCAACGTCGACTCGTCATCTGGTGTCCTCTTCCACCACTACGGCTTCCAGGAGACCCTTTACTACACTGCGACATTCGGTGTCAGCCGTGGTCTGGGCCCGCTCGCACAGCTGATTTGGGACAGGGCGTTGGGTCTGCCTATCGAGCGTCCAAAGTCCATCAATCTTCAGGGTATACTAGACCAGGTTGGCGCGTAAGCGTAGGTGTCGTACATAGACGACGGGGAAGTTCACGAAGACAACGAACAGTTTCGCATCAAATGAACCAACATATCATGAGATATAGCCAGAAATTCAGACATGCTTTGCAAACAAATTGAGAGTGGTTTGGTGAGGATCCACTGTTGCGCAAGATTAGAAGATCCGTCTGAACGCAAGCGCGGCGGGAGCTAGATCGACGCCTAGCCAGGTACGAGACGCCATCGCGGCTGAAGTAAGCCCGATGAAACCTCCATCTCCAACTACGACTCCGACTGTGTTTGCTGTGCCTCTTGTCCTACAGACACGTTGCTGTCCTCCTTGAACGTTGTATAACAATTACCCGTGATTCTCGACTCGCTGCCTGTCGGAGAACAGCCGCGCTTCAATGCTAGTCTTAGGATAAGTAGAGCTTCACGCTCGCGCCGCCACAGATAGCCGCGCCGGTCGAGCCGTATACTGCATCATCCACACCCGCCTCCTTCCCTGCTTTTGAAGCAGACTCGCGACCACCATGCCGCCTTATGAAGCCCACGAGATGCGTCGTGGCAAGTACGCGAGAATCGATGACCCCGTCGACGATGTCGAAACCCCGACGCGCTTCTCCTCCGAATCCACCGGCACCCTAGAAGACCTCGAAGAGCACGACCCACTTGCGTTCGATAGCAAGATCAGGCGCAAGAAGAGCGCCGGAGATCTCAAGGTCCGGAAAGCGTCGTATAGAGACAACGAGTCTGCGGCGCCGTTCCCTACACAGCAAAGAAAGTCGCGATGTGCACCAGGCCGCTGCTGCTGCTGGCTTCTGGTATTTATCGCCGCTACCGTCCTGATACTTGCGTCGGGAGGCATATGGGCATACAAGGTCTCGGTGCCCGAAGATGGATTGAGTCCGCCGTGGTATCCTTCGCCAAAGGGCGGCACCGATAAGGCATGGGAGGATAGCTACAAGAGGGCTGCGGAACTGGTAAAGCAGATGACGCTGCCTGAAAAGGTCAACATCACAACGGGAACAGGCTGGAGCATGGACCTCTGTGTCGGGCAGACTGGGCGCGTAGACCGGTTGAAATTTCCCAGTCTGTGTCTTCAGGTACGTACGATTGACATGTGGCTAGGACTATACTAACATGCTCAGGACGGCCCATTAGGTATTCGATTCGCCGACAACATCACCGCGTTCCCTGCCGGTATCACTACCGGCGCAACATGGTCCAAGGAACTCATGTACCTACGTGGAAAGGCACACGGCAAAGAGGCACGACTTAAGGGCGTCAACGTTCTGCTAGGTCCCGCTATGGGCCCTCTCGGAAGGATGCCAGCTGGTGGCCGCAACTGGGAAGGATTCGGATCGGATCCAGTCCTACAAGGTATCGCAGCCGCGCAGACCATCAAGGGCATACAAGATGAGGGGGTCATGGCTACCGCGAAGCATTATGTCGGCAACGAACAAGAGCATTTCAGGCAGGCATGGGAGTGGGGCCTTCCAAACGCCATCTCGAGCAACATCGATGACCGCACATTGCACGAGATCTACGCATGGCCTTTTGCCGATTCCGTCAAAGCTGGAGTGACCAGTGTCATGTGTTCGTATAACCAGGTCAATTCCAGCTATGCTTGTCAAAACTCCAAGCTGCTCAACGGAGTCTTGAAGGATGAGCTCGGCTTCCAGGGCTTCATCCAAAGTGACTGGTTGGCACAACGTTCTGGTGTGGCTAGTGCTCTTGCGGGCTTGGACATGACAATGCCAGGAGATGGCTTGCGATGGGCCAAGGGCAATAGTCTATGGGGTCCTGAGCTCACGCGGGCAGTTCTCAACGGCAGCGTGCCGATCGATCGCGTCAACGACATGGTTACTCGTATCGTGGCATCATGGTACCAAGTTGGACAGGACAAGTGGGACAACGATGGGCCAAATTTCTCTTCGTGGACCAACGACGAGGTTGGCAAGCTTCACGAGGGCAGCCCATCGAACCATGAGATGGGTGTGGTAAATCAGTACGTCAACGCGCAAGGAGAAGGGAAAGAGGCGCACAGCCACCTAGTACGTCGCATCGCGGCCGAAGGCACTGTCTTGGTGAAGAACGAGGGCAAGACGCTACCCCTGGACCGCAAGGGTTGGAAGACTGGTGGCAAGGCTAAGACAAAGTTCCGTGTCGGTGTCTTCGGTGAAGATGCACGTCTCCCTCATGAAGGAATCAATCACTGCTCTGATCAAAGTTGCGACGAAGGAACACTAGCATCCGGGTGGGGATCTGGCGCTGTGAACTTCTCCTATCTAGTCGAGCCCATGTCAGCTATTCGGGATGCTTTCGACAACGAGACTGTATACGTCACTGACTGGCTGGAGAACAAGCTTCCTAGCCAGAAGGAGATCCTCGTAGACCAGGATCTCTGTATCGTCTTCGCCAACTCCGACGCTGGTGAGGGCTACGAGCATTACGGAAGCATACGTGGTGACAGGAACGATCTCAATCTGCAAAAGGGTGGCGACAAGCTGATCCAAGACGTTGCTAAAGACTGTGGAGAAGGCATGGGCGACGTTGTGGTTGTCATTCATACTGTTGGACCTGTCATTCTCGAGAACTTCATCGACATCATGAATGTCAGGGCCGTCATTATCGCCAATCTGCCTGGAACCGAGTCCGGCAATGCCATTGTAGACATTCTCTTTGGCGACGTCAACCCGTCTGGCCGTTTACCCTATACTATTGCCAAGAAGGAAGACGAATATGGTCCAGGCAGCAAGATTAAGTATCTTCCCAGTCCATCCGATGGTCTGGCGCCTCAACAGAACTTCTCAGAGGGTCTCTACATCGACTACCGTCACTTTGACAAACAGAACATCACTCCACGATTCGAGTTCGGCTATGGTCTTTCGTACACAGATTTCAAACTGTCTTCCCTCTTGATCGAAGAGAAGGGCGCTAAAACACCCTTTCCCAAACCCCGACCTGATGGCCTGGTACCACCCAGTTACTCCACGGAATTACCAGATCCCAAGTCCGCGCTATTTCCTGAAGGCTTCAACCAGGTAGAGCGATACATCTACCCATGGCTCGACTCTACAAAGGACATCAAGAAATCCGAGCCCATGAACCCCGCCCCACCATCTCCCCTCAGCGAGGCAGGCGGTGGCCCAGGCGGCAACCCCGATCTCTATACTACACTATTGACCGTATCAGCATCACTAGAAAATGCGGGACCAGTGGATGGCTCGTCAGTAGTCCAAGTCTACATTGCGTTCCCACAAGACTACAAGGATCATGAGACGGGCGAGCCTATTGACTTCCCCGTCCGTGTGCTGCGAGGGTTTGAGAAGATACATCTAGAGAAGAACACAGGAAAGCTTGTGCAGTTTGAGGTGACAAGAAGAGATCTGAGTTATTGGGATATAAAGAGGCAGAACTGGGTGTTGCCTAATGGCGAGTTCGGTATTGGTGTAGGATTCTCAAGCAGAGACTTGCCGTTGGAGGGCAAGTGGTAAGGCGGCGTTACTTGGATAGAATTGTGACTGGTTTGGTGCTGGAGTTCCATTTGTGTTATTTGTCGATATCCCATACATACATCATATTGCTAAATATGATCTTACTACCATTCACACTGCGATGCTTCTCGATTGTGCAACTTTGCTTTTCTTCGTGATACTCACAACTCACTCTTTCCTCTGCCATCCTGTTCTTCAATCGGTCTCCGGCCTCTAGCAAACAAGATTGTGCGCCACAGTTTCTTGCCAGCGAATTCCATGTAGTTCCTCTCCTTCATCGTTTTGACATCAATATCCACGAATCCAGCCTCAGTAAAAAATTGTTTCACGCCTTGAATAGTGAAGTGCGGGACTACGACAGAAGCTTCCATCTTTCTGCGAAATTCAGGATCGCTGTCGCCGACGTCGTGCTTTTGTTCGGCATTATGATGGTGTTGATGCCCGTGATGGTGGTGATCGTGCGAATTGGAAGCCTTTTTGTCGCTGGGACCGTGATGATGCCCATGTCCTCCATGATCATGACCATGCTTGTGATTGTGTAGAGCATGATTGCCCTCGCTCCCTTCGATCGGTTCCCCGTCCTCGCCAGCCAACAAATCTCCTCCCTCTAAGAAATCGTTGATAACCAACACACCACCCGGCCTCAGCCTGTCCTTCAACTGACTAGCGGCAAACACAACATCCTCGAAATGGTGGAACCCAAATCCAACAGTCGCAAGATCAAAGTTCCAGAACTCCTGTCCCGACAGTGATTGTGGCTGAGGGTCGGACTTGACAAACAAATCACCAACCACGGCGCTGACAACGTCTTCTGGAAGACCGGCATCGCGAGCACGAGTGTTGTATGTAGATACCATTTTGGGTGAGATATCGATACCCTGGGTCTTGGTAACGTAGGGTCCGAAGACACGTGTCATCAGCCCAGTGCCGCATGCATAGTCCAGAAGACGAACTTGTGTGGCATCTGTACTGGATCCCGTGTTGGTAAAGGGGATGCCGACCCAAGATAGATCGGAGCGAAGACTATCTGCGACTCGGTCGTTGACGACATTGAACCAAGGCTTGCTGTCGTAGGAGTCCGATATGGCACTGTGGAATGTTCAGTATACATGTGCGTGGTAATTCATAGAATGATGTATCGTACTCGAAATACCGACGGTTTGCCTCTGCGTAGCTCATCTTGAATGGTACGCTGTTCTCTGTAAGAGTGAGAAGTCTGTTTTATGGTTGTGATGTCGCTGATGCAGCGTTGTTAAATCTATAAAGTATTCTGGAATTGAAGAGAAACAAGTAATTGAGGTTTGGGGGATGATCAGACTTTCCTTTTATGGAGTGAAGAAGGTTGCGAGGATAGATTCAATGTCGCCGGTCTGCATCGGAGACATACGCACGCTAAGCCTATATTGGCCGAGCATCACAACGTGTATCAAGAAACACGCAATATACGAAATGATTTATTTGATATGGCAATAAAGGAGCGAAGAAGTCCCCGTTCAGATTTGCCAAAGCACATGTGGCTTCAGTTGGTCTCCTCCGAACATCGCCCAATTTGCACCTAGGATGTGGACACAGCTACCGGAGACATTGTGATATGGCTCCACAGGGTGCAAAGAAGCCTCCGTAGACCGCGACCTTCAAGTCACCGTCATGGCCGATAGTGGATGAGTCATTTCGACTGATGTTTGAGGCTATCGTGAAAAAGTAGCGATTCTCACTAGCCTTCCTGGCGTGCTTGGGTACCACCTCTTATCGAAATGATCTTGTGTCGTCGCGCCTATGTAGTTCGTGTCGTACGGTATCAAGAGAACATCTCTACCATGTTGCCCACATCTGCTTCCTCCGATACATCAACATTGCCCCCAGAGTTCTGATTCTGCAAAGCTTGTTGCCGCGCAAGGCCTTCTTCTCTCTTGCGCCGCTTCCTGACATCTGCATCTTCCCAATCAGCCTTGGTCCCGTTCAAAAGCTTCGGTTCGTAGATCTGCAAAAGGGCCTGGCGAAACCGACTTATACGATCAAAGTTGATCTTGAAGCGCTCGTTGGCAATCTTGATCAACGTTCGCAAATACTGTTGGTCTACCAGGGCAACGTTACTTCCATCATCATCTTGATAGCCAATGATGGAGTCGAATGAATATCCAGCTGACCGAACTGCTACCATAGGATTTGAATCTCCCGTGTTTGGTGACCCTAGACTCACGGCCCCGCTCTCACGAAATCCTGCAGTCAAGGCAGCAGTGAGGACTTTTTGGGCATGGTCCATTGATGCGCTCAGGATGTGGAGTATCTGTACCTAGTCAGAGTCTGCCGAAGATTTGCAAGAACCAAAATTACCATGGGTTCAAACTTGAGATGAATGTATCTGCAAGAAACACTAGGTGTTCTCTCCTCAGTCTCATATTTCTGCAAGCCAAACTCCGACATGAGATCATGATTTGCTTCGACACGTTCAACTGGCGTATGCGAAATGAACAGCCATGCACCCCCACCACCTTTGCCTCCTGGACCAGCACGTGATTCTTCCCCTTGAGCCGAGTCTGATGCTTCGGCATCTGCTTTACGCCCTTCTAAAAACACACTAATGCGCCCCGAGCAACTGCTTGTTGTAACGAGACCTTGGAGCTTATTGATCTCGCCGATTAGATCTCGGATAGGCGCATCAATGGAGCCCTTTGGGGACAGATCGTGGTACTCGCCATCTGGAGCATCGAGCTGTTCCAGGATCTTTTGCTTGCGTACTTCGAAGCGAGTCGGCATGTCTGTCGTGCTCTGTGGCTGTGTGGGAAACCCGTGACAACGCGCCGTATTTTCGCGTTCGAGTGCGTCATCCATGGTCTGTGCTCACATTCCCTTCCAAGCATCCACGTAGACGTCTGCAGTTATAACCAGTCATACCGCTTGCCGGCTCCGCAAACCAACTGAATCGACATCATGCCACGTAAAGCTACCAAAAGTACTGGTGCGCCGGCTTCCAGGAGTTCCTCCAAACGTCCCGCACCGGACGTTCCAGCAAGGCAGTCTAAAAGAGCACGGGCTGCGATTCGGAAATCGTACGTCGAGCCTGAAAGCGACACGGATAATGAGGATAGACCAAAGAAAGTTCAACTATCCAACGGTGACTATGACGATGATGAAGGGGTGGCCTCCGACTACGAGGAGCACAGCGACAAGGATCCATCGTCGGAATCTGAGCCCGATGAAACTGCCACTGACGATGACATCGAGAGCAAGCGGCCAACTCCGAGAGGGCGCACCACCAAGAACCTCCCTATACACAAAAAGGCCGCCGATGAGAAAGAGCTTTGGAGACCGGGAGCAAAGCTGGCACCAGGAACGCAGCTGGTCATCAAGAAGCCAAAGGCCCGAGATGCAGGCGACACGCCATATTTGGATCACACAATCCATCCAAACACAATGTTGTTCCTCAAGGACTTAGCAGCTAATAACGACCGTCAATGGTTGAAGCGTATGCAACCCTTCATAACGCTTGCTTCACTAGACCGCCCGCTAATGGTTACAGTCCATGACCCTGACTTTAGAGTTTCATTTCAAGATTTCATAACATTCGCCGAGAAGGTATCAGATAAGATTATTGAAGCAGACGAGACCATTCCCGAACTACCGGTCAAAGACGTGGTGGGTATTGACGATTTAGCTATCGTGAGAGACATCACTAACGCGTACAGATCTACCGTATCTACAGAGGTGAGCTTGAAGCTTGATTGTATCGAACCACGCTCACTACTCAAGACATTCGATTCTCAAAAGACCCCACCCCGTACAAGGTGAGAAAGCGTCTCAAGTTTTATTGGAAAAGGCAGAGCAATGCGTTCAAAGTCATATCTCGACATGCAGAGACAGATCTTGCTGGCCATCTAGCTGACTCTAACCCAATATCATCTGCCCCTCGAAGATGATTTTGTCCTTATGCTCGGTCATGGCAAGGTGCAAGCAGGCTGACCTAATCTAGACTTACTTCTCTGCGGCTTGGTCGAGGACTGTGAGTTATCTTTGTGCAGCAGTTAATCCGAGCCACAGACTGACATCGGACACAAACGTAAGGGACGAAAAGGTCCTTACGCGCACTACTACGTTCAGGTGCAACCCAAAGGCGGGAGCTTTGTAGGTATGTTTGATTCTCTTCTTCTCTTGTATGTGTGCGATTGCTATAGCCACGAGCTGTCGTGAAACCTCAACCGAGGCGAAGCGCAATCCCGTGGCCGCCGTGGTTCTTCTTTCGATCGAATGTGCATAATGTATGCATGTATACCTAATGGTTGCTGTCGCCCATGAGATCAAGGACGGGCCGAGGCCTGGCGGCTTTTGTCCTCGTGTGGCCGAGCCTCGCACTCCATGCTGTATTTTGCCGTAGCACGACCGCCATTTCACATATGACAAGGTACTGTCATTAGTGTAATTGGCAACCCTGGCCAGTACTGAAGAGCATGATCATGCCTGGGACATGAGTGCTCAACATACCCCGCTGTTGGTCTTATGTTCGTATCCGCGGTCGGACAGCGTAGCGTAGCATCTTGAGTCCCGATATCATACTGTGCGATATTCGTTGGAAGATGCGTCGGATCGCTTCGAGGTTCGGTCGTGTTCGGTACTGTGTTGTCGGGACGGTGCTCCTGTCTAATGCATGCCAATGCCTTGTCATCTTGCCTACGCAAGTAGCAACACAATCAACGGCGCGATAGTATTTCTAACGCTGTCTTACCGCCATTGTTATCATACTCGCACAGGCATACGCTGACTTTGGAAGGTGGTGGCTTCTGGCAGCCGGACGCGACGACCCTCGCCAAACTTCGACGCGACATCGACCGTAAACCGCACAAGTTCAAGGCGGTTCTGACTGACGCCGGCATTCGGGAGGCATTCCTCGGTGGCGTGAAAGATGACGAGAAGAAGGCTGTCAAAGCTTTTACGAGTCTGTCGATGAATCAGTCAAATGCTCTGAAGCGCAACCCAAAGGCGAGTCCCCTCTGCTTTGCCTTTCCTTGTATAAGACTGTCTTATCAGACGTCGGTCACCAAGCAGGAAGACGCGTCTCAATTGCCAATTTCCTGCAAGGGCAGAGTAATTTCTGGATGATTTTGCGACAGCTATGGCGGGATCGGGTGTCCTCCGCAGCCTGGCACAGATCAACTCCAAAACTAGCCCGGGAACTTCCCGCCTACAAGGATGCACTCCTGTGAAACTCTTCCGCTACATTATCTTGCGAACGGCACACGACAACGATGACGTGCAACTAAGCTTCGGTCTCGTACTGGACAGTTTTGCGTTACAACTGTGTGCCGTCCGGCAAAATAGAGTTTCAAATCGCCCCGCACTCAACAACTCAAGCTGAGTTCGAGATGTCATAGCTAGCACCCTTTCAACGGGCGGGGTTTTTTGCTGGTAGCAGCGTCACTGCCAAGTTGCGGAGTTTATTACGAACAACCTTCAGTCTCACTGTGCCTGCTCAAGTTTGCTGACAGCTCTCAGGGATATGACCATGATCACAAAGATATTGAACTTCTGCGGCTCCGCAATTTTACCATGGGGCGAAAGCTTACAGACGACGAAATTGTCGGTGTTGGAGGTTTGGAGCGTGTGGGTGAGCTCGTAGCCAATATGGTGCCCTTTGTAAGTCTAACGATTCGTATTCTTGACATTGATGGCATAAAACGTTCATTGAACAGCCGAAGTTAAAAGCGGCGGCAACTTGTTAGGGTTGTGCCTGTACATTGCAAGCTATGGGGTGACTATAATGCTGGCCAGTAGTGTGTTGGCATTGCGGTCACCCGCCCATTATGGAATTGTCCAGGTGTGGAGAGAGGCCTGAGCAATCTTGCTGAGGCGTTGCACACGAAGCCGCTAACGACTGTGGCAGATCACCTATCTTAACAGCATCGCGATGCCCGACGATGACACGTCAGACTCGAGCGACGGCGATGGAAGCGATGCCGAGCCTGACAATGACAGCGGCGCTGCAGAGGATGACGAGGCTTGATGAAGGCAATTTCAACAACGCATGTTCGAGGCGCGGTTCTTCCAGCCGAAGTCATTTGGATGCACACATTGGTGGAGCGTGGAGGAGTGGGCCACACAAGCGCGAAGCCCGCCAATAGACGCCTGTGTAACCCTGCGGCAGTGGCGCTGACTGGTTGGTCCCAACTCATCTTGCATTAGTTTTACGCCCGTTCAAACTGCTTGCGGGACACTGCGGCGCTAGAAGGTCACGTTACTTAGTGGGCTGAGTAGGACCGAGATATGCGAGACTAAAGTTTAGCAGATCGCAATAGGAAAAGCCTTTCTACGACCCTGGTCCCAGTTCTCTCGCTCAAACGCGGGCCTGCCGTCTTTCCTTAGCGGCTTCTGCTTGGTTCCAGCGAGCCAGGGGAGGCAGCGCACGGGGCTCACTTTTCACTCGTCTTCGATGATGACCCGGTGTGCATGGCTGACCGCATCGACGCCAAAGTCTCATCGATGACAGTGCAGAAGCGAGACGTATAGCAATCGCTTTGTATAATCACCCGATCACCTGCCCTCTCCATAGTGTGCTCTTGGGCACTGTGACAAGCTGCACACGTTGCGTTAGGCTTTAGACGGCCACGGCCCGAGGCGCACTCGTTGTCCTGGGATGCAAGGTTTCCGCCCTAACGCGTCTGATCATGGCCAGCTCCATTTCGTGACGACGGCTTCAGTGAGTCTTTACCGGCGCCTTAAGTCGCTGGCGGTTAGTTGCTGCATCGCTCTGCGTCATGCACGCACAAGAAGCGGAAGGTCGAGCGGCTTATACTGTTCGGTCACACTCGACATGGTGTAAGCATGACGCCAGCAGCTCCAACACGAAACCTTGACAACTGCAATACCAAGTGCGTCGAGTATATCGCAGGTCTGCATGCTCCATGTCAACCAAGCTGCGAGGCCTTTTGATGCTTTAGCACGTCATCAAAAGGCGGTGTGTTTGTAGGGCACCTCGTTGTGTCCTTCAATCCCACCGTCCATCACACCGATGAGCCGCTGATATTTCGTTCTTCCGCGAATTAGCACGCTTCGGGCTGATCCATCGACCCGCAATGGCTTGCGTCCGCTTATCCACCCCTTCCGCGTCTCTGATGATATTTACCGGCGTTTGTGACACAGCTGGATCTCGCAAAGTCAGAACGTGTCGCCTTACCCTTTTTAGCACTCCCGTCGGATTCGTGAGGCGAATATACACGGCGGTTTGCCCGAAGATGAGGCAAGCGGACGCTGCGGTACCAGACGGAGATGGAATACCGCTTATCCGACAGGATGTTGTCCCTCATACGGCTACTGCAAGAACGGAGCTTCTGTGCTGAACCATCAGCATAATGCGGTGCTGCGGCGCATTCAGAGTACTAACAGGATGCGAAAGACTGCGTGTACACCGATGCATAGCCATCACCAGGCTGACTACGCCTCTATCGCACCAGCACACCTTGACAGATCGGTGAGTGTTGTTTGTTTTGTAGTGGCCACGGTCGCGCTGTGGAAGCATTGTTTGCATTCTTTCTGCCTGTCAGACACTAGAACAGTGGCACAGGCTACAATTCGTCTCGGAGGCTTGACGATATCTTCCCGCCTGATGCATCTGCATCTGGATTTACGTGCAGATGGCGGTACACGAAACGCGGCACAAGCGACATGGCCGCTTGCACTGCGTACGGTGACACAAAAGGGTAGCCTCCGCAATTTCCAGCTATGCTATGCATATTGCGGGAAGGCTTCGGTGACACAAACTTCGTTAATCTAAATATCAACGGGATACACGCGGGAATTCCACTCTCGTCCCGGGCCGCTGACACACATGGTACCAATTGAGCATCTCCAAGTTGCCCTCGCGCTGTTCCCCGACGTCCATGAAGAAGACGATAGCTGAGCATCGCCTAAGCTCCGTGCCGCAGCAGTCATGGACGTTACGCGGCTATTTTGCTTGGGTGAACCGACCGAGGCGGCTGAAGATCACATCCAGAACAGATCCCGGTTGATCTACCCCACAATCCGTTCATTTGGTGTAACCGTCATCAGCGGCATTCAACGGCACTTTGCGATGTGTGCAAGACAAGGCTGCTGACATTTATTTATTGTCATTGTAGCAGCTTGCTCAGTGGGCCGATTCTTCCAGGCCGACTTGACTCCAGACGAATGACTGCATCGGTCCTCATCTATCATGGGCTGGTGACTGACTCAAAAGCCGGAATGCGGTGTGGCAGACAATCAAATTACAACAAAGATTAAATGCGATTGGCTGCAAGCTGTCAGCCCGCTTGATACAGTTCCAATAAGTGAAAAGGGTACCGTGTCCGGAATGACGGCTTTGACCGGTGCAGACACGTCTTGTGACCAAGGCAAGGTTTTTTGCTCTCGCATGCCACGATTAGGATTTACCCGTCGAGCAGCAGATGCAAGGCACATGCCAGCTGCGAAGCTGAGATTTGCCCAAGAGAGTTGAATACTAGGCAGGGGACGTGCTGATTGGTTGATTAAATTTGACCGAGACCTGGACGGTGGAAAACTAAGCACGAGATTGTGCGGGCCGTCCGCCCCAATCTCGAGGCAGAGGACGGAGTGTTTTGGCATGTGTGGATAGTCACGAACTACTGCTGACGATTCTTTGTTGAAGGTGTCGGCGTCGTCACCTATATGCGGCCAGCTGGAAAGAGGCCGGCGCGATGCCGAGGCTGAATACGCACTGGGCGTTTCGCTATTCTCCATGGTACCGTGCCTACATCCGCACAAGTCCGAGACTCGTCACCAGGCGGGACATGCGGCACCGCCACTACTCAAGACGACTCGACAAGTGCCGTTGGCTTGTCTGTATCGTCAGTCTCGACAATTATGGAGGCGTCGAATCAAGGGCGCAGGGAAGCGTTTTGCCATGGGCACCAGTTCGCAAGCCTTGGACCGGCGCAAGGGATGAACGGTTTGCCAAATTGTGGATGCCAGATTGAGAGGCGTGATTCGAGGACGAAAGTGGGCTGCGTCGCATGCCAGCCGTCTTACACGAAGCAATAGCAGCTGAGGATGAGGAAGTCGGTACATGATTTTTTTTCTCGCAGGCAAGACTGGCCAGAATCGGCTCTATTACCAACCAGCTTGTGTGGACTGAGAAGGCAAACTACTGCTGCTGGTTTGGACGAACGGTTCTCCCGGCGCAAGACATCGGCTCTCCCGTACACTGCCCCGCGAAGGAGTGCCTGAAGTCGCCGAGACGCACCGGCATGTGCTTGACTAGCAAGCAGAGAGCACTCACGTCACAGTTGTCCAAGCACTTAGCAGACGTGGTTGCCGAAGTGGTACACACCAACAGTCAGACAGGGATGGTGCCCGTCCTTGTCGAGCAAAATGACCGACGCCCCGAGTTGATCAGCCCTATCAGACATGTTGGCAGATGAAAAAAGACGGCAAGCCGCGTCCGGGAGGTTGAGGAGAGGCACATTTGCGAACCCTGCTTGTGCGTGGATCAGGCTGCGGGAGGCGGCAAGCAGCGATTGATTTGGGACGAGGAAGCTCGAAAGCCGTCACGATGCATGTGTGTACAAAAAAGCATAGCAGGGTCGGGACAGCAGGCTTCGCAGCAGGTCGCCGGCGCCAGCACGCACGGTACGACCAAGCTGACCGGACGCAGGCGCGTACCGTGGTTCGTGAGCTGTCGAATGGGCGAGCTATGGGCTTGGCAGAGGAAGCGACACGAGGGACGCAGAGACGGCCCGTAGACGATTCAAGAGCCCGAGGTGGTTCCATGAGTCGAGGCGACTGTGCCACTTGAGACGCATGCGAGCTGCAGACGGCGGGTAGGCTCTCGCACAAGCGCGGTGCAGCCAGCGCAGAGTCTGGCATCTCGTGCAGGCGGGCGGCAGAGTGACATTTAGGATGATGTGGCCTTGGGCTTTTGAGTATTTATTGCGGCGCCGTGTATGTAATTAAAGGCTCGTAGATCACAACGCGACGGGAGTCCCCGAGGTCTTGGCGAGTCACACATCTCAAGCAAGCTGCCGGGCCGCAGCAGCATCATGCACATGGGTGGTGGACAAGGCCTGTCTCGCGGCCATGGTCATGGGCGGCGCCATGGGCCTTGTCATGGGCGAGGTCATCATCATACACCGGCCAAACAGCAGCGCAAGGGTGTCGTCGCCGTCGTCGTGTCGGGACGAGGAGTCGGGCGAGGTGGTAGGGGCGCCTCGTATGTGTGCGTGTGTGTAGCTCGTCTACGCGGGTGGTTGTGGGCTGCACGTCTGGCTGCAAGTGAGGGTGCCGCATGGCATTTAGCGCGTTTGGCGGACCGTCGCCGTCGTCGCTGCATGGGGCGGACAGGGTTAAAAACGCCATCCCAGTAGAAGCGGCGAGAAGGTTGAGTTCGGGCACGCGGTGGGTAGTAATAGCGGCCGCTCCAACCTGAATCTCCTTTTTCGCTTCCACGCTCTTGGGTCCCGTCTCCTCCACGCGCTTCGAGAAGCCTTTCACTCCACAGCCTCCCTCACCTCTCCGACCTCTGCCACGACTGCTGCCTCGACCACAACCGCCGCCTCACACCCTCTCGCGGCCCAGAGCAATTCCTCCGACCCGCCCGCCTGCCCTGCCCATCGTCTCACTCTCCTGCAGCCGACGTTGCGGGCCGCTCTTGCCAGTATTTTGTGACACCTCACCCGCCCCAGAGCATTTTCCGCACCACCACCCACCACTCGCTCTCGCCCAAAGCCCTTGCACTCGCCCTCGCCCACAGCACACGCTGAGCAAGCCGGCCGCTGTGTTGCACTGCGAGAGCGCGCCGTGACAGCTCCCCGTTGCGCCCGCCATCCACCACCCACCCAGCTCGACCACGCAACCCAAAACATGTTCCCTCACCAGGGTGGCCAAGGCCAGCTTCCCGCCCACTGGCAACCGCCCACTGCCCAGCAGCCCGCGAATGGCTCGTATGCGCAGCCTCCGCATGTAAGTAGTAACAGTCTTAGTAGTAGCAGTAGTCGCAGTCTGTTGTCACGCGCGCTGCACGTCATGTCATGTCCCTCTCGTAAGCTCGTCTGGGTGACAGCTCGCTGACACTTGACGTCAACCTAGATGAACACCACGCTCCCACCTCCACCTCCACCGCCCCAAGAGCCCCGCCCCGACATGGCCCAACATCCTCAGTACCAGCACCAGCAGCCATATCGTCTGCCAGGCCCCAATGAGTGGACACGCGCTCCTCCTCCGCCAGACTATCGCCAGCAGCCACCACCGCCTCCCCAATATGTCCAGCAACACCACCAGCCGCCCGCCCCGCGACAGCGCACTGCCATTGCCTGTCGCTACTGCCGACGCCGCAAGGTACATGCTATTTGACGCAATTGACCCCAGAGAATGCCTGCTTACCCTCCCTAGATTCGCTGCTCCGGCTTCGAGGCGACTGAAGACGGCCGCTGCTCCAACTGCATGAGGTTCAACCAAGACTGCATCTTCACCCCAGTCTCGGCCCAGACTCAGGCCTTTGTTCCTGCACACACAGTCTGGCGCGGTGTCGGACAGCCACCGCCCATGTACGGTGCCTATGGGCAGCCACTACCTCCTGCCAGCCACGGCGAGCCATATGGCCAGCCGTCGCGCCAGCCGCAGTATCTGCCCAGCCCCACTGCAGGTCCGTACCCAGCTCATTCTGACTATGGCCCGCCCAGTGCTTCTCCAGATGATGCGAGCCGTGATGCGCTGGCAGGCAGGAAGAGACTCCATCCTGAGCCTCATACCCCTACTCTGCCGCCGCCACATCCTGGCTCAGCGTCACAGGCTCCTCATCGAGGCACTGGAGAAGGCTATGCCTATCCAGAGCCACCGTCTCTAACTTCGGCTGCTTCAACAGCAAACACTCCCACCCCTTACTCTTCCGCGCCTCCTCCCGCCCAACCTTACTACGCCGCACAGCCGCCGCGTCAAGCTTCTCCACAGAGCGCCTACCGCTACGAGCCGAGTCGCACCTCTTCATCGCCACACTCTCAAGCACCAACCACCCCCGGTGCCCCTCCTACGCCTTATTACGCAGCTCCACCGCAGCCCAACGGCGTCCTGCAGCCACCGCCTGCGCGCAGTGATGGCAGAACCCCACCACCGCCTACATCGACACCCTCGGCTAGACCCAGCATGCGCATCAATGACCTCGTAAGCGACAATGGCCCCGCTCGCAGCTCGACCGATTCGTCCATGCTCAACATGCTCAACCGCCGGCCCATGTAAAAATCTGCCTCGCGCAAGTGGAGACGCTCCGGAGCTGGTCTTACGAGAGCGCTTCGCACACCCGCATCAAGCGTAGAACAAGGAGCAAAATTTCCCCTCCGAATCTGTCAGTCGTCGTTTACTGCTTTCCATGTACAATCTGTATTTTCGTCCAATCGACGTTTGCTTATCGCAAGGAGTTCTGGCTGGCAACAGCGTGATTTCTGGGCGGCTATCTGAAACTTTCAAGAGCGACAAAGAACTTCCGACGTTTTCCATTTTAATACTTACGGATCCATTCCACTGTCCCTCCCGGATCTCATCTCGAGTGTGACCTAAACTACTATACTGGGTGGTTATTCTGTCTTTTCCCGCAAACATCTAGAACTGGGGGTGCATCATCACATGGAGGCTTCGTTGATATTTGCATCATCGTAGCGTGGGTTGGGTCCAGCATCAATGTGCTTCGCTGCATATTGTCTGGGGTAGTGGTCGCTTGTGCTTTTTGGTACCTCTTTCCTATCGTACCTATTACGTCTGTTTTTTTTTTCGCGGTATTCCCCTTCTTAGCCTGTCTCTACCGCATTTCAAAGTCTATATGGGAACTATTACTGGTGGGTGGCAATCTGATCGTAAACTCGCAAAGCACCTCGGGAGAGCTGAGGTTTCTCGCATCATCCTGTACGTAGTGGCTTCTTTTTTTCGTTACTAGCTATCTAAATTGGAGATGTTCGCTGGTGTAATGCTTACTCCATCTATTCTTTGCACACCTTTGTGAACGGGGCACCGTACCTGGCCTATGTCAACCGGGCGGTGCTGATCTTGAGAGCCGGAATCCCGAACTGGGCTTGCTTGTCAAAACACCTTATCCTACAGTCATCACACATGCTTACCCATCGCTCTTGCTTGCGATCCCGCCCAGCCTGGCCCTGTCTAACCACGATGCCAAGACACGTGCCTGATGGATGTTGACATCACATGGTACGTTACGTTACGTACGACAAGCTACGCAGGGCAACCCGACATGGCAGGTATACGATAGCGGGTACGCACGTGTTGCACCTACCATTTCAGGGCAGCACGTCCCCACGCAAAAGAATGGACAGCCGAACTCAGCCATCCGCGCCTATCGATATTGTTCCCATGGGGAGCAGACTTTGTCGTGGCTTCGATCGTATCATTACCGTACCACGGCAGCACAACCTCACTGACATCTACCCGACAGGTGTACGTGCATGACTCAATTACGCATGTTCTCATAGCACAGTACAGTACGTCTACCACGGTACAGATTCGGGGTCTCGGCGTGCCGGAGCGCTGCTACCAGACAAGTCTCGATCTGTCATTCTCGAACTACATCGGCACGGGACGGATGAGTTTCCATGGTACAAGGGCAAATGGAAGCATCCAAGGCCGTCGGACTAGAACGTTGCTGTCTGTCATCGCTGGTTACGACGCATTCTAGCATGCACGATGTAATCATTCCAATCAAAATGATTTCATCAGTACCAGTATCGTCGAGTTTGTGCTGCGGCTCGCTCGGACGCAGGGAGGTTATCAATTGCGAATCCGACAATAGTTCAATGTATCGCAGCACTGACTTGCACCAACATGTCACCCCAGATATCAGTTGAGGCTCTAGAATCCTAGTGTACCACGATTGCTTTGGAGCAGCTGATGAACCCTCAAAACTCTATTACTTTTCCGTCCCTTCCTGCTACCGTGCGGTGCAGCATCGTACCAAAGGCTAGGTTCTGGATCGCAGTCCGCCGATGTTGTCCTACTGAACAGACGGCTTGGCTATAGGCCTGTCTCACATCTACTGGCTATTGACACGCCCGCCGTTGCATGGTGTCGCCGCTATGGCGTACCGTTCAACCTCGACTCGCTAACGGAACGGTGCGAGAGAAAGAGAAGGGTTTGATTCGCTGCCACGCTGGGAAGCAACTCCGTCATGAGAACTGCCAGAGCATGCAGGGCAAAAATTGCAACAAAAAGGAACTGTGGTTCTAAAGCGACCTAGCGTACCGTTCTTTTGCTGCCTCGACACGAATGCTTCTCCTTGGCTTGCCGAGACAACAAATATCCAGCTGACATATTTTGTTTGCATCACTTAATTTTCATGTGGATAGACCATTAGGTCTTTTTTCATGGTTCAGGGTTTCGGCAATGCAATCGGATCTGGGAAAGTTTGTCGTCGCTAACGAACGACGTCGTCACGAATCAATATTAGCCTGTCAGCGTTTCAGTCGAGTAAGAAATATCTTGCTTCCACAAAGGAGCCAGGAACAGGGGGAAAGGAGGCCTTTGTGGTTGCGACTCGCTTTCAGCCGATCGTAATAGCAATCCCTCACATATGCCTGGGATACATCGCTGTTCGACGAAAACGTACGTGCCCGGTCAATCCCCCTAACTCCGAATTCGGACTGTACAAGCTAAATAGTCGTTGCCCGTCACGGGACGGTGCGAGCAGAAGTTTCGAACCGGGATGCTCGATGTCGCAAGCTCAACTAAGCTGAGTCGAGCAATTGCGGGCCCTGACCTTGTCCCTTCCTTGTCTACTCATGTTAGCGTACCGCTCTTTGTCTTTCTCTCGCTTTTGGCTTCGCAAGTGCATCTCCGGAGAGGACAAGTCCGGATCTCATAGTATAGCTGTAGTGTGTGTAGGTAGTGCTTACTAAAAAAAATCGATGGAAGATAAGCTAGGAAAGCGAGGGTGCTAAGCGCCTCCAAGGCAGTTTTCCGCTGCCCTTGCATCGCACTGCTAGACATGGCTGGCTGGCTGTCACATCCGCTTGGCACCAACCCACGGTCTCATTTTTTTTGCGTGCTTGCGGGAGCAAGCACACGACGCACAACTCCACAAGTTTTTCTTGTTGGCCAGGTCAAATGTGCTGTGCTGTTGCCGCTGTCCGTCCGGCAAAAGGATTCTGACCCTGGACCCATTTCCTCCGTGCCATCCCTTGCAATGCACCAACACACATGCCATGCTGTAACCGATATGTCAAATGTGCCACGTACGCCTGCAACCCCATCAGTTCCGCCGCCCGAGCCGTGTGTGCTCGCGTGTCGAAATCTGCGTTCCCATCACACATCTCATCACAAGAATGGTAGGAAGCAAGCAGCCTTGCCTTCCTCATCCTAATGAACTACGCTACATGCGCCGATTGAATCGTCTTCATCCCTGCCGTGCGTAACCGCAATAGCCATAATCATGATCCCACAACACGCCATATCATCCTATACCTGACTACGCTACTTCCCACCACCACCAACAAAACTATCGACAAGCTCTCAGCGCTTAAAATCATTGTATGCACATACCCCTCCCTCCCCCCCATCCATCGCACATCCAACGAAACCAGCGGTGAGCAGCGGGAAGAAGCCCTGACCTACCCTGTGCTTGACCCTCTCCGTGCCCACTGCCCACACCATTGCCTCCATCCTTAGCGCCCTGTAGCATCGGCCCCAAGGATCTAGCGTACCGTGTTTCTTGCAGCGGAAAAGGGGTTAGTTCGGCTGGACCTCGCTGGGGGGCCATGTGCGTGCGGTAGGGATCTGGGTTCATGCGCCGGACCGCGATATGTCAGGTTAAAGTGGAGATGAGATATGGAAGGGCGGCGGTTTGGCCGGTTTCTGGTTGATGACGCGGGGTGGGTGCCTAGGAGAGGGGGAGGCTGGAGGAAATCGCTCGGATGGGCTGGTGACGACGGTCTGGTAGTATGTGTGAGTGGGATGAGAGAGGTCGCGAGCTATGTAATGATGGTTTATCCCAACTTCGTAGTCATCTGGTACACGCGGTACATGCTGCTGACTCGATGGAAACGGCAGAGCAATCTTCCGTGTCCAATAAATCTGCGGCATTTACAAGCATCTTAAATAGAGGTGCTAACTTGCTCATCGACAATTCGCTTCGAAACGACGGGTACCATGCATGCTGATACTGAGTATGCTCAAGACATGAACTCGTCTAATGGTCAGCTATCAGGACGCTCTTGTCTCTTCAAAATCTTGATAGAAAGCTGTTTATATAGAAGAAACGAGTGGCTCACAGATTTCAATACGTGCCCTAGGTAGAGATGTGCACTATTGCTCATCTGTTGATCCATACAAGCAAATCTCCACAAGTATCTCTAGGGTGGATTTGATTAGATAGAAGCTCGCAAAGAGCAAGCTCCTTCGCATTTAGCACAGGTCTCCGCCACAGTATTTACTTGAAGCCTTCTAGCTGTGAACAAGCTAAGCGTCGGAGTTGAAAAGCACACTACCACTGGGCGGTACTGAACATGTATAGAGCAAGTAGAGTCAGTCAGTCCGTCGGCTTGTTTCACGTAGTGCCATCGCATGTGCACCTACCATGTTAGAAATCCGATGAGACTAAACATGTGAGTACTTGCATGAGAGATACTCGACTGTGCGCAGATGCTGGGCTGTCTCTAGACCTAAGTTTGTAAGAGTCTTAACAGCCCGCAGCTGTTCGCAGCTCCAAGTGGTTTCGGGGCAGCACGGCATTTTTCTTAATCAAAGCCAACAAGCTACCTCATAGCTTAGAGTTCAATTGCTACGCGAGCTCAATTTCATGATGCGGTACGGTGCATCATTCATGCTGTATGACCTTGACCCTCCGGCTTTTCTCCAACGGTTCTCCATGCATAGACGAAAGCGACCCTCTTGGTTGAGACATCTACTCATACTCTAGCAAAAACAAGCAAGAATAGCAAATTGTACGCATTAGTCAAACTGACCAGCTATCTGCATGTGTGGCCCATGGCCACAAGAAACCTCAGTACAAGTACCAATACCGCTAACCCATCACTTCTTATTGCGTAAGCGTTTCTTGTCTTCTGAACCCATCACAAGCATATTCCTCAAAGCCCGGAGAACATGTTCCCACAACTGATCCCGTCTGAGAGCGTGACGAAGCAGATCGCGTCTGCGCACTCCTGCAAAAGGCACGGTAGGCTGAACATTCGCATTATGATTGTGGGCGTGTTCAAGGGATGGAACTCTGGCTGAAATGTTGTTTGTGGGACGCTCGGGGGCTGGATGTGGATTGATGAGGGGGTCGTTTTCACCCATGGCATCTACGGTCTCATCTACGTCTGAGTCTGTGCGCCTGTCGCGTGGTGCAGAAGACTGTGGTTGCCAGTCTATGGAACCATCCAGGTTTGAGCTCGTACGTTTACTGCGTGATCCAGACGATGGCCGACTCTCGAACGAAAATCTCCTCCTGGTAGCCCTGGTAGAGGAGTAATCACTGCCGCCGTCTCTGCCGTCGCCTGGCGTGAAGATTCTGCTCTCATTGGGTAGCCGCCCTAATGCTGCTGACACTCCATCTAGTCTGGTAGCCGTGCCTCTTTCTTCTTCTGCCTTTGCATTCTGTTCGTGGAAATGCAAAGAGGCAGCATCTGACAGGTCGCTCGAATCCCCGGATAATGCTGAGTAGTGTGACTTAGGGGAGCCCGGTACGTACACGTAGGTTCCATAATCATTTGTGGGGATCCAGGAAGGATCGTTTATGTCGGGAAGTATGAAGCCGTTCCTAGAGCTGTTTCCAGATTCGTTGGGTATACGTTCGCCTTGGTCATCGATCCTGGAGCCATTGTCGGGCTCGTTGAGTATATCTTCCGCTAGATGGTCGTCTTCATGGCCGCGAATATGGCTGCCTCCAGGCCCGTTCGCTGGTTCGTCCTCTTCGAGAGGTTCATCGTCCAGTGGTTCAGGTGTCCCAGCACCACCTCGAAGACAAAGTAGCTGTCGCCATAGCGGTACAGGTTGCTCAGCTCCTTTCCCTGAACCTAAGGGCTGTCGGTCGCCATTATTCAGTGCTGACGGTGGCAGTATAGGTTGCTGAATATCTCCCTGCAAAGCGTCCCAAGCACTGTATGCCTGAACCCAAATATCGTCATTGCTCGAGGAAGAAATCCAAGTTTCAAAAGCGGCGCCCAGGCACTTTGAGTCTTGTCCCGGTGGTGCATCGGTATGGTTCTTTCGAATGCGATACTTTGAAAATCCGCGCTTGAACCTTTCTGTGCATGCCTTCTCTGGTGGTGGCCACTTCCATAGGGTAGGAGGGCCACCAGCACCATAGGCCGTTGTGGCTCTGGCTCTGGCTGCGGCGTTGGCGGGTGCTTCGGTTGCAAGTCTGTTTGTCGCATTGACTTTGACTTGCGCTTTGATAGTAGGTATCCACCGCTTCGCCGATATCCAGAAAGATATGGGTGTTCGCAAAGTGACCGCACTGGAATGCCAGTGTCTATCCCGTATAAGAAGCCTCCATTCTTCGTTCACGGTGAGATCGTTCTCTAACATCGCTCTCCGCTCTATGCGAATCGAGCGGCCGGACGACACGTTGTCGTGACATTCGTATGGATTGCTAGATGCAGCTGCTGGTAGCGCGAGACCGACCGTTGGTGATGCAGTGGGTACTGCAGATTTTTGGCTGGAAGCGTTGCCGTCCACAGATCTGGAACTAGCCACACGAGTGTCGGATGTTATACTGCCATAGGATGGAGTTCCCCCAATCTTCCACCACGAACTCGCATCTCGACCCGCAATTGTAGGCGATGAGCGTTGAGCTGGATGAGCGTGATGTCCGTCGAAGTTGGCAAAAGGGTTCGTGTTTGGATTCGTATCATTGGTAGATGGAGTGAAGTTGCCATGCGGATTGAGCGTGGGTTGGACGGAGCCTGGAAGACCTACTGTACTCTCTGAATGTCTTCGTCGGCTAGGTACGGGCGCGAGTATGGCCTGTTCGGTGGTCGAAGATGCGGGTTGCGGTTCTGAGTTGATTGACTCCTAGTCAGACCTCGAAGGCCTAGTTTGCCTGTCAGTGACAAGCACTTTGAATGTCAGAATAGCACGCTCACCTTGAGAAGTTCCTTATGTCCGTCTTCCTAGATTTACCCTCAGATTCCTTGGGCTCGGTAGCGAGTGGGATTTGCAGATCTGATTCATGCGTCTGTACGGCGGAGGGTGTGGATATGGCGTCCGGATTGTTGTCGTCTTGCAAGTGAGCAGGAGCTGCCATGGTAGTGATGAGTCGACGAGTGATGGTTGAGTAACGATAGCAGATAAGAGATACTGTTGGTGATGCAAGCGGTGGTGGTATAGAAAAAACTGATGTTAGTAAAGTTGCGAGAGAGAACAAGTGGTGGCCTTTGTGAATTCGAGCGCTTGCATTTTGTATGCCTTTCAAGGCGGCACTTCCTTCCCATCCCAGTCCCAGCACTTGCCCCGTCCTTCAGGCGCCACTTGCCGGATTACGTCAACTAGCCTTTCTGCAACCCAGTCGCGCTCAAACAGCTTCTCCTTCTTGACGTTACTCCAGAAATCTTTGCTAAAACCAGTCTTGACGGTTCCGGGATGTAAGGCAATCGCCATCGCGTTATCGCCCGACGCAGTCCTCAGATGGTTGTCAAAGGTTTTGACTACCTGATTGACACCAGCTTTTGATGCACGATAGCTGTACCATCCTCCTAGACGGTTGTCACTGATACTACCAACGCGAGCTGACATGATAGCCATTGTAGCTACATCTGGTAAGCCCGTCATGTCCTCTTGTTCCTTGTCAATGACTGCACTCTTCCTTGGGAGGAAAGAAGAAAAGTGCTTGAGCATAAGCATTGGACCCAGAGTATTAGTTCGGCTACGCATTGGTGTACGTAGTCAGTACACATCGCATGTCCGGTTTAGATAAGACCATTACTTACAAAGTCAATAACGCTTCGTCAGCGTTGATTTGGGAGGGTGACTTTTCTGGGAAAAGGATCCCCGGCACCATCATAGCTAGTTGAAGCTGATGAGGGCCATCACTGAACTGCTTCTTGCAGGTCGCTGCTGCATCTGCAATAGTCGTCTCGTCTAGAGTAAGATCAGTACTCGAGCGCCATTGTGCACATTATCACATATGCTAAATACGTACCTAGAACATCCAGTTTCAACACCGTCAATCGCCTCTCGTCAACATCCAAACCATCGAGTAACTCCTCCTTTGTCTTATCGAGATCCTTTCGGGCTGTTGTAACAACGGGCGCGTTCGTAGTCTGCAACACCCGTCTTGCGAGTGCGAAGCCTATGCCCCGAGAGGCCGGTGAGATCAGCGACCACGGTGGCATCGCGATGGGGGCAATGGAAGGGTAGCAACAGATGCCATGCTCGTGACAATCTTTTGATGCTTCTGAGCTTCGCGAAAAGTGGTCGGGACGCGATCGATGATGACATACTTGCCCTGTCGATCGGTCGGCTAGTGTAATTTGAGCTAGCGCATTCTTCACCCGTCTCCAGCCAGCATCACTTCACTCTGAGCATCTTTTTCTTACACACCTGACATGCTCAAAGAAAGGCGCAGTCTGTATGAGGTCACATCGAAAGCGTCAAGAGCCCATACAACTGTGGTTATCAACGTTCTGTCGCAACGGCGCGATATACTTTTGGCAGTGGGTCTGAACGACGCAACTTTCCGTCGCGGAACGTAAGTATGCAACAGTCTCAAAGTCTCACCGCCCATAGCGCCGTAAGTCACTAGCCAATATGTAAAGAAGCAATGCTGCATTCTTTGCACGTATCTTAGTTATCGTAAACATCGATGTCGAAGTCACCCTCACAAGAAGTCGCCATCGCAGCTCCGGCACTTGCCATCTCTGCACCAATGTCCGTCTTTGCTTGCTCTCGTCGTTTTGCCTCTCGCTGCTGATAGTCTACCTTTTGCTTCTTGGCCCGCTCGTCGCGCATGTCATGCTTCTTTGTACGTCGCGCCGCAGCTAGATCCTCCTTAGCGCTCAATTCCTCCTTTGCCTTCTCAATCTTGACCTTCAGCTTTTCCTCTGCAGTCATGATGTTCTTTGGCATGTCGTAACGCGATGCCAATTTCTCTTCCTTGGTTTTCAACCTTGCCTTCAATACACGCAGACCGCTGTCCACTTTATTGAGCCTGTCCTTTATGTCCAGTTGTGCAAGTCGAAGCCTCTCATCCTTGCTAACCCGAACGATGAATTGATTCGAGCCCCGATTTTTGAAGGACTTGTGCGAGTCGGAAATCAGCGTGGAGTTTACTGACGTTCTGTCGACTGCCATATCGCGCGTGATATGGTGTGGTCGTCGGGGAGGTAGATCATCGGACTTAAGCTGTCCTTCGCTCTGGGTAGGTAGGGGAGTCGTGTCTCCTACTCCGTGATACAGTGTTTCGGAATCTTCAGACATTGCAGTGTCTATGGGCGATGTCGTTACGTGGATGGGTGTTCGAGGAAGAGAAGATACAGCGCTTCAGGAAGTTTAGATCGTGGTCGTAGTGATCTTGGTTAGATGAGGGGAGATGACGTTGATAGTGCTTAAACGTTCAGGACTGGAGATTGTTCGTTAGGTGAGTGCCGCCGATCAAGTGAGCGTGAGTCTTTAATGTTTGATTGAAGCACTACCTAGTCTTAGCGTATGCGATACGGCCTTCACTATTGTGCTTGTCGCGCTCTTCTCAACACCAGAATAATTCAATACGATACAGAGCAGAGCTACAAGTATGGGGGGGGGGGGGGGGGGGGCTATGAGGTCAACCACGGTCAGTTGTGGCTACGAAAAACATGCCAAAAGCACGTCAGTAACTACGTTTCGATCTACACCTCGAGTCTCTGTAACAAAGCCCTCAATATCCAATTTTCCCTTCCAGTAACATCCTCAACTCTCTTCAAGCCAGCATGAATCTCCCCCTGTAGTCGTCTCAATGTATCTCGCGTATACGTCATGCTGCCCGCTCGGTCGAGTTGCCCCAGCACAAGCTTTTTCTGCTCATCTGATAAATATCCGATATCCCGCCGTTGTCGGAGAAGCTCATACAGTTCAGCGTTGTCTTCGCAACTTTTCAACGCGTGAACGAGTGGGAAGGACATTTTACCCTCATCCAGATCCTCACAAAATCCCTTTTGAGCACTGTATTCCGGCGAATGAAGGTTCTGATAATCATCGCGGACCTGGTATTGTATCCCAATACAGCTTACAAGCTCCTCAATATCTGCGCCTTGCGTAACTCGCAACAATTCGCAATCTGCAGACTCAAGCAGAAGCCGCACCAACAATCGAAACAGACCTCCAGTCTTCTTGTTCACCATCTCCAGATACTCGTTCTCGGACGGACACTGGGTATGATATGTCCAAAAGAGATCATAAGACTGGCCGATGTGCAATTCGGCGAGTTCTTCGAAGACAATCTTTACCTCTGCGGCGCCCAATTCTTGAGCCTCACTCACAGCTTGGAGGACTTCGTAACATCCGGAGTTGATCGTTTGTGCAATACCGAAGACGGTGTGCGTCGCCGGCTGACCTCGTCGGAGATTAGACCCATCTTCGATATCATCGAGCATAAGAGATGCAGCGTGTAGACGGTTTCCTAGTGATTTGATACGGGATACGACGGTCTCGGGTACGTTGAGCCAGATATTGAGAGCGTCGATGAAGGTGTCTCGTACACCTTTGGAGGGGAGTGAAGTGATGTAATCGAAAGGTGCCTGGACATTTTCTTGGCCTAACAGATCATTGCAAAGTATTTGATCGTCCTTTAAGGTCGAAGGAGAGACAGATGTATAAGAAGAGATCGAAACATCATCCCTCGTTGTGAAGCTGTCGTCTTCGGAGGCTTGAAGGGATGAATCGGTAGACGAACGCCGGGAGCTTTCATCCCGCTCTTCCTTTACCTCGGTTCGTATATAAGCATCGTACTCAAGACAAAGTGTCTTTTGAAGCGACTCCGCTGTCAGTCCATCTTCCATGCCCACATTCGGGTCATATCTGTACTCTCGGTGGTACCTCGGACAATTCAAACTCCAAACAACATTTCTGGTAAGCCAGCGCGTCCAAATATCTGTCAAGTTTCTCAGGTATGGGCGCATTATTCTGCCGAAACTCTGCAAAGCTCCCCAGAAACTGCTCCTCGTATCTTTTCGTCGCCTCCAAAGTCATGCTTTTTGCCGCATTTACATCCATGTTGTACCATTGCATGTGAAGCCAGACCGCGTTCGTCAGTGTTTGCGACTTTCCAGATTTTTCGAAGTCCGCATATTCGCGGTCAAAGGAGAAGAAGTCATTAGCCAGGCCGAGAGCTGCGTAACAAGGCTTGCGAATTTGCTCGAGTTTAATGTCCTCTTCTTTGCTGAGCGTCACACCCATGCCAAACAGCAGCATGGCTTCCACAAACCTAAAACAGTCAGTTTTGACAAGCGCATTACTTATTCAACAGCAAAGAGAAAACTTACGGCGCTCCAGTATCAATCATGCGGAAGTTCACGTACTCTTCCAGGTGGGTAAAGCACTTGTTCTTGTCTCGTAGAGTCGTATCAATCATCTCTGTCCACACACTTTTTACCCGTTCAGTACACGCATAGTCGATGGAAGCAAGCTGTATCATGATCTTCGCTTGAATCTGTGTCTTGCCCAGTGCCGGGTTCGTGTTTTTCCACTCTCTTTTGTTTTGATTATCAGCACGCGACTACGATCATCAGTGATCTTCAATCTGAAAAACCAATTGAACTTCTATCATACCGTTTCTGGTTTCTCAAGCTCAATCATATTATCGTAAAGGAATGCATCTGCATTCAGTAAGCAGACTACCTCAGTGATGGGGAAACCGTATGGTACAGGTATCGTACACTCAAGCACATAAGCGATCATGCGCAACCTTTCCGGCTTGGTAAGTGGTAGGACCACAGCCGAGAAGTTGCCGTTGATAGGGTTACATCCCCCGAATTCTTCGATTGGCCCGACGTATTTGATCCAATCTTGTCTCGCTTCGTAACATCCAGCGTTGGCCTCGGATTCGTATTTGTGGCGCCTCAATGTGTAGTCCGAGCAAAGGCTGTGTGTATCGTAGTGAGAAAGAGAGACAAGGTAAGAAGTCTCATCATCTGATGCTTGCTTTGGTCTGTCCATGATTACGGGGTAAAAAAAGAGATCAAAAAGGCCAAGTATGTTCTCGGGTTGGTTTTGTTCCTCCAGTTGGTCTCAGAATTCTGCAAATAGCACGTCTCTTAAATCAGACACGTAGTGAGACATCGTCATCTTTTTGCATACTTCTTTATGAAGTATTCGACATCATAATGAAATCAACTCTTGCGCGTACCGAAAATCTGTGTCATGGTCATACCTGCGCACTCACGTGTGCACAGTTTCTGTCATGCCGATCGAGATTGATGTGCTGTACAAACAGGGTGGAGATTGCCAATCGATCGCACAACGATGTAGTAAGCCTATTTCTTTGGGAAGATCGGTTGCGATCTGAAATTTAGCAAGACATTGAGAGTGTAGCTCTACACATCGGGTTTACCGATCTACGGTCATTAGTGGGTCTCATGCAGGACAGGCTCATCCCAAGGCTCTCAGAGCTGCTTTCTGCAGACTCGCTTTCAGATCGTGTGGGTCAAATATGGATACCATGTGCCAGATCGGACATGCTAGCGGCTTTCCTTCGCTGTGACGTTTACTGTGGTCATATCAGTACCCGAGTGTGGTATGGGTGACCGCACCACTGCCATGAACTTTAGTGTTGCTGCCTTCACAGTGTCCCAGCCAACTACTCCAAGTAATGATAAATTAAGATGGTTTCATTTACACCAGGAAGGCATTGATAGAAGTGCCAGTTTTCTGGATAGCTATGATGTATACATGACATGCAACCGCGGCCCCACTAATCGCTGTCTGCGTGGTATCAGACCAAATCGACGAAGCTGGTCAAGCGACAAAAAAGCAATCGCACAAGGAATTCAAAGCATCGTGAAAAAAGAAGGTCGAGTGGTATCATGGGCGGATCGCGAAGATAGGTATCTACGTTCGATCCATTCGACTCCTGATCCAGGGTTCATACTTCCTCCTCGTCTCTTCATCGCCGTAGATATCAATGTCAAGGCCATCGTCCGCAATCATCCTATCCATTTCTCTCCGTGCCCGTTCTTCCTCCGCTTCCTTCATCGCCTCTTGGGCCACTTCTTCCTTAGCCTCATCTTTGACTTCACCTCCAGGCATCCTATCTACAAAAGGCCGAGTATATGCATCTTGCAAGCCCAACCCCACCATCTCTTGCTGTACCCTCTTTCTCCACTCGGTGTATGCCAATGCCTTAGGACATTGGTTCAGACGCAACTGTCGATATACAAATGTGTATTCTCTGTGGAACTTTCGCTCTATGTTTTGGCCTAATTTTTGCCATGCTTCGATATCTCGGAGATCAGGATAGTTCGGGGCGAGCTGCTGTGCCTTCTCCAAATTTTGCTTGTTGCGTTTCCGGGGGTTGTTCTGTCGTGGGGAGTCTGGTGCTCCATGTCTATGTCGTTTGCTACGATCAGGGTCGAGAGCGTTCGAATGAGACGCGTACAGCCTTACGGTCTTTTCTGGGCCATGTAATTGCGGTCTGCCACTTTCAACCCTATAGTTGTCTGTAATCTCAGCACGACTGTACCGTGTGGTGACGTCGCCTCCTTCGAACACTCGGTGTTCGTCGCCAGATATGTTCCACTTCCTCTTCCTGGCCCTTTCTTGTACAGACAAAGAATGCTTAGCCTGACCCTCAGCCGGAAAGCCTCGCTCACCCAACACCCTTGCGGTCCCTAGATTCCTTGCGCTGTCGGGATTTGTGGAAGCCATATCGGTGTTCGGGGTTGGGAGGATGATAAAGCGCGTCTGTTACGAACGCGGAAGTAGACTTGAGCCTGTCGAAGGAGTGTAAGATGCGGGGTTGCAATTGCAATTACTTGAAGGTGATTACGACCCTCAAATTATCATTCAAAGAAAGAATGCTTATTACGCTCTTTCACAAGGCACGTGTAATCACCCGTGATTCGGGACGCACTTGCGCTTGGTGGTTGTACCACTCAAAACGCCAGGCAACAAGCGACAACGTGACGAAAAGGTGTTTAGTTAAGGTTTTCCCTGAGGGTATTACGTGAAAATTAGCGAGGCGCTGAATCAATCACTGGCGCTTTAGTTGTGACTGACGCCTTTCTCTGTGGGCAGTGTTGCGAGGTCGTAAGTGTGTAAGGTATGAATGTACCAGGTGACTGGAAAGGTTAGCGCGAGTTGATTGCAAACTTAGCAAGTCACAGCCAGTTGGGAAAGAATGAGTCTGAGAAGCGTGGCGACTGCGAAAGCGTGACAGTACCTAGACACAAATATACTCAAGGCAAGAGTCACTAGGTGGTTTTGAATAGACCACATATTATGAAAATCAGCCACTCATACGAAGATCTCTTAGAACGTCGAGACAGCCCAGGATAGGACCAGGCTAGTCACACATCATTAGAATATCTACAGCCATACTCATCAACACCCGTCTATTTTTCCATCCCACAACGAGCACATCTCATCACTCCCCCCATGGCTCTGACATCGGTGTAGACAGAAAAAGACTAAGAAACAAAGAAAGCTCAACGAGGGAATCACAAGCTATACATTTCGGGAAATCAAGACCAAAAACGCCTATTTGATCTTTGATGGAGAGGCAGAAAACCACAAACAGGGAATAAAGCGTAGTGGTAGTGGTAATGATGATATGTGGATGAGGAACATGGTCAGATCGCTAGCGCAATGCGAAACGTGACAGTTAAAAGAAATATGATGGGTTATGTACAAAAAAGGAGTCGTAAAGGCTCGTCAAAGGAGGAAACAGGGACAGACAATATGCAAACAAGTCGTCCCCCATCCTACTACTAGTCACCTCAGGTACTACCTGGGCGGACTTCGCGGACTACGTGGTGGGCTTTTGGGTACTGCAGGCACTTCCGGTACATCTTCTTGGTTTTGACGAAGATGTTCTGGCGCCTCATCTCGTGTTATTGTCGCTCTGCGGATCGCATTGCGTAACCGGCTCATGACTGCCGGTTGTGTATTGGGGGGACCGCCCTGGTAGCTGTTCCTGTGGCCTTGGAAACTGTTACGGCTGTGGGACGACTCGAGTCGTGTCAGCATGGCGGCCGAGGTAAAGTCGTTGCTTTGCTCGAAACTAGGACGCACGCGGTCCATAGACATACGTGCGCGATCGAAGCTTGGTCGTACGCGGTAGTCGGTCGACATACGATGGGCGAGGGGAGGAGCTTCCGTTGTAGGGGCGGGTGGGAGGCCCTCCATAGAACGGCGGAAAGTGTAGTCGGTGCTGTTGCTGCCATTCTGGCTTCTTGGGTTGTGCGTCGTAGCGGTTGGAGCAACTGATGGTGGGTAGATGGGTCGAACGTCTTCGTCCGTGACATCGGCATTAGCGGCTTTGTACTTCGAAGCATCGGCTTCCGATGACTGGTTGGAGTCTTGCTCACCAGCCACCTTCTCTGGTCGAGGAGGAAGGTAAGAGTCATTGTCTCTCAAATAGTCGAATTTGCCTTGCTTCACCTGCTCCCGAATAATGTCCGCATCTAGAGGGAAGTAGATCTTCTGCACCACCTTGAAGATGAAGCGCGGAAGCAAACACGCTACCGTAGCGCACAGAACGTAAGCCCAGAAATTGAGAGTGCCGTATGCTTCGGCACCAGCCTTGTAGAATTGAGCACTCGAGGTGAAAGAGGTGTACACCCCAGTCCAGAACCAGATGAAGAGAGTACTGATGACGACGATCAGGACGATCAGCCAGTCCCAACGATATGTGTTGTACAGGACGTAGATGTTGGCTGCGCAAACAGCTGTAGTTGCAGCGTAGATACCCATGCGTCGGAACTCGGCCAGGTCCAATCCGTTGGAGGTCGCAAAAGTTGCGGGTGCGAAGATTTCGTATAAGAAGAAGAAGGCAACTGCGGATTGGTAGATACCATCGACCATGTAAGCCCTATGATGTGTTAGTGTCTTTCATGTGCCTTGAGCCGATTTTGCTTACCAGAACTTAGGCTGGCTCCATTCCTTTCGCTCGATACCACGACGGTACAGCTCCGGGACGGCCAGAGATACTCTATCATCGACATCCTGATCCAGAACACCCATGACGATAACAGGGAGTGACGTAAACGCCAAGTTGAAGAAGATAATGTAAGTGTAGTCGAAGATATACTGGCTGTCGAAATTGGTGTAAATCTGGTACCAGAAGAGAGAAAACGTCCAAATGATGTTCTTGTAGAAGAAGTTGGCAATGGTTTCTGCGAGCCTACGGTATGACCATCGACCGTGAACAAGCACAAGGCGAGTGAGGAAACGGAATTGACCAATGGCGTAATCAGAAGACATGACGGCTGCGCGGCCCTCGACACCAGCGATACCGACACCAACGTGCGCCTCTTGAATCATGGCCACGTCGTTGGCACCGTCTCCAATAGCAAGAGTGAGACAGTCCAGTCCAGTCTTGACCATGTTGACGACGGCTGCTTTCTGACTGGGACTCACACGGCAGCAAAGAACGGATCGACAACGCCTACAAAGCAGAAGGAACTTCCGCTTCACTGATTCATCTAGAGCCAGCTTGAGAGTGTCTCCGTCGATGATGATGGCATGTGTAGGTGGTGGTGGTTCGTGATCGTTTTGAGCGGCGGCCAGTTCTTCTTCAGAGCCTTCTAGACCGAAGATCTTCAATTTCTCGTCGAGCTGGGCTTCTATAGAATCGATGTTATCGTCTGTAACCTTGAGGATAATCAGGTCCATGTCGTTGTCGAGCAGGTTGCAAGAGAAACCGATGTTGATGGCTGTCTCGACTTTGTCACCTGTAAGAACCCACAGCTTAATACCGGCCTGACCGAGAAGAGAAATGGACTCTGGTACACCGTCCTGGAGTCGGTCTTCGATGGCAGTTCCTCCAATCAGCCACAAGTGGTTTTCGATGCGATCGGATACCTCTTCCAGCTTGTCCTCACGTCCTTGAATAGCGTTGGCAGCAATGTCGTAATCCCTGTTCCACTCTTGGTATTCCTCCTCGGAGATCTCTCGTTGAGCAATGCACAGTGTTCGGAGTCCTTCTCGCGCAAACATCTCAAGATGCTCACCAGTATCGGCACGGAGTTGTCGTTGCTCATTGGGGATCAACCTAGAGTAGATCATGCTGTCGGCTCCTTTGCAGAATAGGACGATTCTGTTATCAGGCATTCTGATGATCGCACTCATTCGCTTCCTGCTGGAGTTGAATTCCAGGGTATTGAGGACTTGGTATTTGCGCTCTTGTCCCAAAATATTGACAACGAGACGATCGTCTTCGCGACCAACGAATGTGAAGCCACAATCACGGGCAGTAGCGACGAGTGCGGCTTCATCGGGCGATTGTGCTTTGAACTCGATCTTCGGTGGGTCACCAGGGGTGCGTTCAGTAACGACGGTATGGCAAAGGGCCAAAGCAATCATAAACTCCTCATTAGCTCTCTTTTGTTCCATTCCAGATTCTCCGCGCAGGTCGTCAATATAGTCCGGAGCAATAAATGTCAGGTCGTCATCCCACAAGTAGGGGTTGTCATGCATCTTGCGAATTCCCTCGAGCATCCGCACACGGTCGCGCGCAATCTGTTCGCGGGCCTTGGCACCCTCAACTTCGACGTTGATACCTTGTCTCCGCTGCATGCCTGCCTGGGCCTCTGTGTACGCTTCTCCATAGGGAACTCCATTAATGGTTGCCTTCTTGAACTCCATGACGTTCTGGGTGAGTGTACCCGTCTTGTCCGAAAAGATGTATTCGATCTGGCCCACGTCGTCTGAGATATTCCAGGACTTGGGAGTACAGGGGTAGTCCAGCTTTGCGTAGTACATGTGTATGTCGCTGTAGATAAAGAGGGCCTGCAGCGTACGAATGATTTCCAGGGTAATGTAAAGCGAAATAGGAACCAAATTCTGGAAGAGAATGACGGCAGCCCAAAACGCAATTACACCGTCTGTAGCAGGAGCACCTCCGTAGGAACCATATTCGAAGAATGAATGGGTGGTGTCGTCCCGGGCCCAAGTCACACCAAGCACGATTCCAGAGACCAGACACATGGCGGCCAGGATGAAGAAATTGTATACAACGTTCCAGTTCAGTTCCTTGGAGATCCTGGCTCTCTTGCTGGGCGTGATACCGGAGTTTATCATGATCTTTGTCTCTTCTCCAGTGAAGACGACGACACCCAATACCCACTCAGTGTTTCGCAGTTGACAGCCACGGAGGATAAGGTTGTTAATGGAGATGGGCTCGACCATTTCGTACGCCGGCGCCTCGGGATCTTTCGCGTTGTGCTGCTGCCACCTGATGGCTGCACTGTACGAGTACAAGTTGGAATGCGCGCCTTCGCTCTCGATGACGAATTCGGCGCGCTCGCAGTGTCGAGCATGTCGCACATCTCGAGTAGCGTGGAGTGCATTACGCACCTTGAGGTTGGTCTCACCGTCCAGGTTCTTCGTCTCAACATAGCATGCGCCGTCGTCGGAAGAAGTGGAAAGCACAATCACGTCGGCAGGGATCTCCTCATCGTTGTAAAGGCGCACGAAATCACCGACCTGGACATTTTTCCATGCATCTTTCTTGAAACGTGCCTTTTCTGGAGCAGTCTTGTACGGGTTCAGCACACTTCCCCAGAACTTCTTTTGAGGGCCAGGATGGGAGTCGGCGCCGCGAATTTTATCTCCTTCACCGGGTCCATGGGTTAGTGGAGGAGAATGCGTAGGAGATTGGCCTGGTAGCGGTGAGGGCACGGGTGTCATCTGAATGTCGTTCTCGTTTCCAAAGTAGGATTCTCTGCGTGATGCGATGGAAGCTCTTCGGGTCTCGTGGGAAGGGCGCGAGCCGTCCATGCCGCCGTCCTCACCTCCTTTGCCCTTTGCACCCTTTTTGCTCTTGGCGCTCTTCATCAGCCGCCATGTTGAGATTATGCTCTTTGTGGTGGCCTTCTTGATCTTCCGCCATAATGATACCGTGTCTTCGGCCGTGTTTACGTTGTTGAAGTCGACGAGTCGGTGAACGGGCGCGTTGTTGAGCTCGTTGTCTAGGACAGTTCTTCGCCAATCCTCTACTCCATCCTTGATGGACGTTACGACGAGAATGACGATGAGCGGTACTGCATTAAGGGCCGGATTACTAGCACCGAAAATGGAGAAAATCTGGACAAATCAGTTAGCT